GGCGTGAGTTGAAAAGTAATACCTTCTCTCCCACCTTGAACTCCCTTCTCAGTATGTGGTGATCGTGCCACTTCTTGGTTTTCTCCTTATAAATCCGGGCATTTTCATAGGCATTAAGCCTAATCTCATCGAGCTCATTCAGTTGCAACAGGCGCTTCTCTCCAGCAGTTTGTATATCAAATTTCAGCTTCTTGATAGCCCAATACGCCTTATGCTTGAGCTCGACGGGCAAGTGGCAAGCTTTTCCAAACACCAATCTGTACGGAGACATGCCTAAAGGAGTCTTGAAAGTAGTCCGGTATGCCCAGAGTGCATCATCTAACTTCCTTGCCCAATCTTTCCTTGTTGAATTCACTGTCGTCTCCAGAATGTGTTTCAGTTCTCTATTGGAAACTTCCACTTGCCCACTGGTTTGTGGATGATAGGGTGTAGCCACTCGATGCTTAACCCCATATCTGGCCAACAACGTGTTCAACTCCTTTCCCATGAAGTGTGTGCCCTCGTCACTGATGAGAACTCGAGGGACTCCGAATCTGGTGAACACGTTCTTCCTCATGAAATTCACCACCGTCTTTGAGTCATTGGTGGGCAACGCCACTGCCTCCACCCATTTGGATACATAGTCGATTGCGACTAAGATATATTTGTTGTTGAAAGACGGTGGGAATGGCCCCATGAAATCCACCCCCATACATCAAACATCTCTACCTCCCAAATCGAGGTCTGCGGCATCTCCATCCTTGCAGATATGTTCCCTGTTCTTTGGCACCTATCACATTGAGCAACAAAATCACGGGCATCTCGAAATAGAGAATGCCAATAAAATCCAGATTGTAACACCTTTGCTGCTGTCCTATGAGGTCCAAAGTGACCTCCTGCGGCCATACCATGACAGAAATTTAGCACCGACTTTACCTCACACTCAGGAATATATCGTCTTACCATGGTATCAGCACAATGTTTATACAGTAAGGGTCTTCCCATATATAATTCTTGCCAATAGTGATCAACTTCTTGCGCTGTTGATAAGACAAATCAGGGAGCTTACCTGTGGCGAGATAGTTCGAAAGGTCTGCATACCAGGGAGCTTGTTGGACAAGGAGAGCATAAAGCTGTTCGTCTGGAAAATACTCATTGATCTCAACCTTGTCCTTAGGAATTGCCTCAAGCTCAAGTCTAGAAAGGTGATCGGCTACCAGATTAGCAGAACCTTTCTTGTCATGAATTTCAACGTCGAATTCCTGCAAAAGAAGAACCCAACGAAGCAATCTTGGCTTGGCCTCCTTCTTTGAAAGAAGGTTCCTTATAGATGCATGGTCAGTGTACACAATTTTTTTCGATCCCATCAAATAAGATCAAAATTTATCAAAAGCAAACACCACAGCAAGCAGTTCTTTTTCAGTAGCGGAATAGTTCAATTGTGCATCATTAAGAAGCTTACTTGCATATTACACCGCGTGCAACTTACCTTCCTTCCTCTGCCCCAAAACTGCCTCGACTGCATAGTCGCTAGCATCGCACATTATTTCAAATGGCAAAGTCCAGTCGGGTGCAGTGATAATGGGAGCAGAGGTTAACTCCTTCTTATACAACCTTATAATTTATCAACTCTTTGGAGCAAACTATAAGTGAAAAAAGGGTTTGGTTGATGAAATTATTAACTAATAGCAAAATAATTAAACTAATTAAGCAAAGTAAACTTGTCTGGAGAAATTCAATGGGAGAAAGATCTGGGAGAAACACCGGGATTCACTACCTATCCTATCCAGATTAATTCACATATTCCAATCAATTTAATCCAACTCTCTACAGCAGGATATCACGAATGTGCTAGCTATCCCTGTCGGGAATTACTACGTACTAAACAATTAAATCAAATCCTACTGTCGTAGCTCAATGACTTAATTATTTAGCCTGAAGATCGATATCCTATTTAAGACCACATAGCACCTTATTTAATCCACTGTCGCTTCGATAAGTTACTATGTCACATGAAATATGTTCAGTTATTAGGGTTTCACTGTCGCTAATAACCTAATTAACAAAAAATCAATGTATTGGTGGCCAGTCAACACAAAGCATTAAGTAATTTCATGCAATAGAGATTGGAAGAAAAGAAATACGAATCAATTCATCAATTCTAGAAATAGCTACATCCTATGGTGTTTCCCCCGGAAATCGAGGTTTAGTTCATGATGAACCTGAGATAAATCGATATAGTTTTGATCATCATATTCTAAATCAACAATAAACAACTAATTTGGTTCATAAAATCTAACCAAATAATTGCTCTCGTTGAACTCAGCTCAAGCCGCCTGGAAAAACTCGATCGCCAATTGCCCTCTACCTCTCGTCCCAAGCCTTCCGTTGTGCCCTCCTCCTTTCTGAAAAAAGAATTCCCTTCCGTCCAAAAACTCCCACCCCCCCCCCCCCCCCCCCCCCCCCCCGCGAAGATGACAAACACTTCGGCCCACTTTTTTCTTCTCCCATCGTCCTCTCTTTCTTTACCAAAAACCAATCCATTCCACTCCAAGTCTCAGGCGAGAAGAAAATAATGAGCCCTAGCCCATTGTTAATTCCAGAGGTGGAAGGAAATAATTCCTTCTGATCAAAAAATATAAAGAGCCGGTTTTTTCTTCGATAGCCTATTTGTGTTAACATTTTTCTTCACCTAAAACATATAGAATTCATGGCACTTGGTGGTAATGGTTTTATTGCCATTCCATAGTTAATCAGCTCTAAAACTAGCATTATTTGTCTCAAACATATCATGAAATATTCACATTGAACACATTAAATCAATATGTTTTCGACAATTATCACTTAGTCTTTGAGAATCGAAACTTCTAAACTGCTAAATTGATAATCTGTTCATCTGCTCAATGCTAAACTTTAATTTGCCCATCTCTAATCTTTTGTAATCTGCTCAATGGTAATATGTTGTAATCTGCTTAATCTTAATTTGTAATTTGCTCGTTGCTAATTTGTTGTAATATGCTGCGTGCTAATTTGTAATCTGCTCGATGCTAAACTGTAATCTGCTCAATGACAATCTGATGTAATTAAGGCCGAGTCCAGTAAGATACAAATCCATTAAATTTTCACAATGCTAAACTGCTAATGTGTTGTAATTAAGTTTGCATCAAGTAAACTCCTAATCTAGTAGCTCTAATCTCTTTCTCTGTCGGTTGTCCTCTTTTGAATCCAACTGGACATATTTCTAAAACATTTTTCTTATTTCTTCCTCTTAAACAGATGGAACCCGAACACGTTGATAATGCACCTGCCCCTCCTCCTGGTAATCCTCCTAATGTTGAGGAAGATGTTCTTCCTCAACTTCCCTTAGGTGCTAGTAGGTCTTTAAAGTCTGATGTCTGGCCTCACTTCACTAGGATGATGGCAAATGGGATTTTGAAAGCAAAATGCAACTACTGCAAGAAGATTTTGGCTGGGAAATCTAGTAGTGGTACCTCCCATCTTAGGACTCATAGGAACAAATGTGTTCATAAGAAAATACATGATGGGAGTCAAAACATTCTGGGTGCTAACCACAATGTCAATGGTACAGCTGACATGAGTACCAATCAATTCAGTAGTGAGGTGTCTAGAAAGGAGCTCTGCACCATGATCTTGGTGCATGAGTATCCTCTTTCTATTGTTGACCACCTTTACTTCAAAAGGTTTTTGCTGCACCTTGAACCCATTCTTCAAAGTCCCAACCGAAAATACCATATAAAAAAGACATGGTGACTATTTATGGTTTAGAGAGGTCTAAAATTCAAAGGGTCATGGACCAAAACAGAGAGAGAATAGTTGTCACCACTAACCTGTAGACTGCAACAAACCAAAAAAGGGCTTACATGGCTATCACTACCCATTAAATAGACAATTTTTGGATTCTTAGGAACCATCCGGTTATGTTTGGTTATCTCCCTGCCCCACACACTAGTGAGAGGTTGGCTGTAAAGCTCGTTAAATGCCTCCAATCATGGAACATTAATTGTACATTGTCGACAATTACTCTTGACAATTGTACTACCAATGATTCCATGATCAATCTAGTTAAACAAAGGCTGGTTCTATCTTATTTGATTAGGGATGGGACACTTCTCCATATGAGGTGTTCTGCTCACATCCTTAACCTGATTGTGAGGGATGGCCTAGATGTTCTTAAAGATGGAATTGAGAACATCAGGGAGAGTGTGGTATTTTGGACATGCACACCTAGGAGAGTTGAAATTTTCCATGGAAAAGTAGTCACAATGGGTCTTGTTAGATTTCTTTTATATGAAATAATATAATTTTATAATTTCTTTTATTTTGAAAATAATTTAAATGAAAGAAAATTATATGTTTTGAAATATAATTAAAATATTATAAGAATAATCTTGTATTTTAAAAATAATTTTTATGCTTTTATATTATAAAAAGCGTTTTTTGACTTCTTAAAATTCCAACTTTTGGAGGTGTTTGACCTGTCTAAATTTTTTAAACAAACACACTTTTAAAAGCCGGACCATAAAGAGCATATCATTAAAACACGGGTTAATGACATGGTTGGTCACTGAGATTACAAAAAAACGTTCAAGTTTGGTCACTCGAAATATTTAAATCCATTCGTAGTACTTCAATTTATTGAAACAGTTCACGTTTGGTCACTCTCCGTCCAACTTCGTAACTTTTGCTTACGTGGCGGTCAACTATAAAAGTTGATTGTTAAATGTGTGACGTGGAAATTCAAAAATAATTAAATTAAATTTTTTAAACTTGCCATCTCATTTCCACCTCATTATCACTTTTATTTAAAATAAATAAAAAACCTAATTTCTTCTAACCAAATAAATCAGAGCAATTAAAGGCACACACTTGGCCACTTGAAGATGACATTAACCACAGAGAACTGAGATCAGAGAAGTATCAGACTCTCGCACAACTTTAAGAGTACCCATCATATAGTTCAGCGTTAAGAGTTCACGCTTGGCTCCCAAAAGAAGCTTGCACTAAAAAATTTGCACCCGTCGCGATCTAGCTCCGATTCGAGAGCATCGTCCTGGTGGAGTCGCCGACGAGCACACGGTGGAAGAGGACCGATAAGTAGATGACAGACGTCGTAGCGATTGATTGAGAGAGAGTTCCATTCGACTAGGGGCATTTGCGAAGTTGGTGAACTCCACCATGGCATCGTCGTCGAAGAGCAGGGTATGGCGGCCAACAACTTCAAGATCCATTTTTAGGGCCGTCGATCGATGCAGACCTAACATTTTTTTAAGGTTTTGAAGAGCTGGAAATTGAACTTGTGATAATTTGCTGTTTTGCTGCAGTGTCGAGGAATTTCAGACTCGTAGAAGAGCTGGAAATTGATACCGATGAGCCTTTCTTCCGGCATGCGAGATTTTCGGTCCTGTGGGAAGGAGGCCCAACAATGAAAGCGGCAGCGACGACTGGGTATGCTGCCGGTGGGTATTGGGATTGAGGATTAGAAGAAATTAGATTTTTTTATTTATTTTAAATAAAAGTGATAATGAGGTGGAAATGAGATGACAATTTAAAAAAAAAATTAATTTTATTATTTTTAAATTGTCACGTCACACATTTAACGTCAACTTTTAGAGTTGACCGCCACGTAACAAAAGTTAAGAGAGTTAGACGGAGAGTGAGCAAACGTGAACAATTTCAGTAAATTAAAGTATTACCAATAAATTTAAATATTTCAAATGACCATATTTTTGTAATCTCTCGTGACCAACCATGCAATAAACCCATTAAAACACGCTCACAAAGTAGAAGGAAAGTCGCTTTGTTTTCTATTCCCCCGAAAGCTGCGAATTCAAACTTTCAATCATATGGTTAACGCGAGATCGAGCAGTCGATTCAGTGTGTTCGACTTCAGCGAGGAGGACGAGTTGCCGGAGCAGGCGTCCAAGATGATGATCGGCAGAGTCCGTAACCGTAAGCGACCCAAGCGTGTCGCTTCTCCGATCACCAAATACAAGTTTCTGGAGTGCTGTAAGTCCTTTCTTATAATTTTAGTAATTTTTATCGGGTTCGCGGAGAATAATTGTTAGTTTCTTGTAGTTGGTGCTGTGGGAATGGGGATATACATTAGCTTCGAAATTTCGAAGAAATTGTGAGGTTTTCTTTCAATGGCGGGGAAGAGCTCGTAGAGTCTTTCTGATGTCTTGGGCTAACTATGTGCGAGATTCAATGAAGTTTCGGCGCCATGTTTTGGCCAAAGCTGATGATCAGTGAAACCATTTCTCGTGGTCATGAAATCATTTTGTGGGACAAATATTTACACTTCTGATAACTGGTATTGATTTGCGCCAATTTCTGGTTCTTTGGAAGTGTTATAAATATGAGGAAACAATATGGAAAAGTGAGATTGCCCTTGAATTGCAGCTGAGCTCATCTGTTACATCTGTAGTACCTGTAACATTCTTATGGTTTTCTCTCATGTATCCGGCGTTTTGATACTTGAAAGAAACTAAATATATGTGTGTGTAGTTATGGGACGTAAGGGGTCTGCTGATGTTGCTGATAAGGGGAGTCTTCAAAACAAAAACCATGCTGACCCTATCAATGTCGATGATGACCCGGTCAGTACTTGTTCTGAAGGTAAAGGGACTCTGTGGGACGTATTCTCTTATCTCAAATCATATGTCAAAATTCAGTTTTCCTTTACAGTTAGAGATGGTGTCAATGCTCTATCTATGCATCTGGATTTCTCTGCTGGAGCAACAGGTATTGGTGTTAGAGATCCGGGCTATCATCAGGTGTCTGTTGTTTCATGCCTGCCACAGAGAGATGATCCTGCAAAAGGGAGAGCACCTTTTTCAGAATGCACTGAGTTGTCAAGTGATTCAGACAATGAGGTTAGCGATTTTATGATATTGGTAATTGATGTAAGTCTCTTTGGATTAGGTTCCTTATCAAGGTGAATCATAGTTTTTGGTGGAGATTTCATTGCCAATTTTGCTCAAATCTACCTCAGATTTTCTCAAGGTCATCATTCTCTTCATGTAACAAAAACATATGTGAAATGATGTGTGGTAATGTGGAATCAAACTTACTGCAGAGAAATGAAGCTGCTATGAGTTTTGATGATGACTGTCCAATTGAAATGAGCCGACCACTGGTTTCTGTTTCTACTTCAACGGAGAAGGAAGGTCTCTCCCTTGCACTTCTTCAGATTCAGATTGACATCTTGTGGTTTCTTAATCTTATTTCCGGCCTTTTCTTCTATCAGATCCATTGGAGAAGCAAGCTGCAGCGCTCGGTTCTGTTGGACACAAAATTGTAAGCAGTATACCATGTTTGATTCATTCCCAAAGATTTTGAGTGCTTGTTAGCATCCTTGACCTATTATCATCATTTCATGCATCTCTTTAGATCCTACATAGGAGATTAGATAAGCACTATGGAGCATAGGCACACAAGCGAACCTAATATGACAATAGTAGAATGCACATCTGAATCTATATCGACACATATATGAGTACTAAGTTTGGCGAGCAAATGCTTGAAAATGTGGGAGTGTATACCTGCTAACTTCTTATATTAGAGAATGTCTGTGAACTGTGATGGTTAAAATATTTCCCATTTGTCACTGAAACTCTCCTAAATTTTCTTCACTTCAATCGTGTTGGCAACTTACTTCCCTGATCTCAGTTCACTCTGTTTCAAGTTGGAATTAAGAATTAGAATTTTTTTTCTCGTTCTTGCTTATAGTTTCATGTAAGTTGCGTATGTTCATCTCCTGCTATGCTTTTATGTGTGCTGCATCAACAAGAAAAAAGACGAAGATGGTTCATTTGGGCACATCTGCTGGTCCACCTCTCAATTACTTGCGTCGAGGTAGGCATTTATCTTTTCTTACATTCATTCATTACTCTTTTCCCACAGGAAGCTGATAAGGTTTAACTGTATAGTAAGTTTTGGACATTGTCAAGTTGGCTAGTTGTATTTTGTGTGTATAGTGTAGCGTCTAATCAACTCCCCCTTGTCACCATTGCAAGTTTGAATTGTTGCATTCTCTTATTCGTTTTTTTGCTTTTCTTTTTGGATTAGAGGGTTTCTATTGTTATTTGGTGTCTTTTTTTATAATTCTATTGTGCCCACCATATGACATTGCCTTGTCCGATTTCAAAACTAACCATGGTTTTATTTGATTTGTTTAGTCTTGAGCTTGATGGGAATCATAAAGAGGTCGTTTATCCAAAAGACGATCCTGATGCTGTTCTAATTACTACACGAGACTTGGAGCTTCTGCAGCCTGCAACTTTTATCAATGACACTATTATTGACTTCTATGTTAAGTAGGTGTTAGTTCCTGCGTATGGTATTTCATAGACGTTTAGTTTTCTGGTTGTTCGTGGCCTTATTTTCACACTAGTAATTCTTTTACTCATATTGTTGCTTAAAAAGCACATTAGTCAAAAGGTTGGTTCCATTCTCAGGTACTTAGTGAAGACTAAAATTCAACCAGAAGACCATAACCGGTTCCACTTCTTCAATAGCTTTTACTTCCGGAAGCTTGCTGATCTAGACAAAGACATGACTACCGTAGGCGAAGGCAGGGCAGCATTTCAACGTGTTCATAAGTGGACAAAGAAAGTTACTCTCTTTGAGAAGGAATACATTTTCATACCTGTAAACTATAGGTCAAGAATTTCACTATTTTACCCCCTCTTTTTGGTCTGTGCATAGTGAATAGACACATGAATTGGTTTTTAATATTAATGTTATCAATTTTTTATTTCAGCCTCCACTGGAGTTTGATCGTGATCTGTCATCCGGGTGAAGTGGTTCTTTCGACAGGCATATCCCCTTTACAAATTTGGTTCTTGTAAAAAAAAAGCAATCACTGTTCAATCAAATAACCTTTCCCTAACTATATTTTAGATGATGTAAAGGAGAGGTCAGTCAAGCTACCATGCATTTTGCACATGGACTCTATCCAAGGAAGTCATAGGGGCCTCAAGAATCTCTTCCAGAGGTAATATTGATCACTGCTACATTCTAATATCTAGTCCTATGAAATGCGAAGTTAAGCTTTTCTGAACCTCAACATCGTCATGATCGTTGAAGTCGCATTAGTTTATTTTTTGCCACAGCTACTTGCTGGAGGAGTGGAAAGCGAGGCATCAGGATATAGTGGATGATGTATCTTCCAAGTTCTTAAATATGAGTTTTATCGAACTTGAGGTGTTGTCCCACTGTCTGAACTCTTGTTATTTTATTTTTTTCCTTCTTATTCTGAGCTTCTAACTGATGCTTATCCGAGTTTCTTAAGTTTAAACTATTTACTTAACTTTTTATGATTGTGGATCCTAAGGTAAGAACTTAAGATACAGTGGATATTAGCATCCTCCAGTTACTAGGCCAACTCTCGGTGTTTTAATTGTTACCTTTTACTTGTAGGGATTGCTACTAACTTTATATATCGACCTTTGCAGCTGCCACAGCAAGCCAATTCATTTGACTGTGGCCTGTTCTTGCTCCATTATTTGGAACTTTTTATTGAGGATGTTCCTGCAAACTTCAACCCCTTCGACCTTTCGAAGTTCTCAAATTTTGTAAGTGAAGCCGTTCCATTTTGGTTTGTAATTGTGTAGCATGACTTTTGAAGCATAATCAGTCAACTTTTGAAGCATAAGCAGTTCCATTTTTGGTTTCATATTCATATGCATGTGAATGTACCATTGGATTATTGGACACCAACAATGGACAGTTAAAATTGATTCATTGTTGATTTAATCACATAAGGACAGTCAAAATTGATTCATTGAAGATGTATTCACAACACACTTGAATTATTCACATTGGTTGATACAAAAAACAAATAATAATAATAATAATAATAATTATAATAAACAAAAAATAATATTAAAAAGATTAAAGGGGACATATGCATGTGTATATGAGGGTCTCATATGCATGGTAACCATATTTAGTTATTTACACGAATACTGAGCTCGCAGAGAAAGCTTGATGACATTTTTTCTTTCTCAATTGTTTATTAACTTTCAATCTTTCCTTTATTTGATGAGAAAATCCAATATAGTAAAGGCATGTAGTGTCATTGTAGAATTTCCTATTAGCATGCGATGAACCATCACCAGTTGTGGGCTGTCTGGAAATGGTTTTCAGATTGGGTTTGTTGATGCTGTATCACGCTGAACAATTGTGGCTTAATTGATCCTGCTTTCATTTTTTCGTATCATCCAAAATTTTGTCTCAATTATGTCGATGCATAAAATACAATCTAATTCTGTATTATATATGTTGATCGCCTAATCATATTTGTGATTCATTTGCCCAAACATATAACAAAGCTGCAAAACTTACCACTTTTGTAGCTGAAGAAAAATTGGTTTCCACCAGATGAAGCATCATTGAAACGGATACGTATCCAGAAGCTAATCTCTGGAGTTCTTTTGCATCACCCTGAGGGAACTCCATTGGTGGACTACATGAAGAAGTATCCATCTTCCCAAATTTGCAGTAATTCACGTGAGAAAGAAATTGAGGTGGCGATTCTTCAGGAGCAATGCAGTTCACCGAAAACATGTCCAATTTCTGCATCAAGATCTAATATTGAACCTCGGATTGGGCATTCACCCCCAGCCACATCCCACAGCGCTTTCCATGACCGGATGGGAGAAGCAGGGATGGACTTTTTGGAGTTGTCTATAGCATACACGAATTCAAAGTCATTACTATATGACAAAATACACCAGCAAAAACAGACCCATCAATCAACCAACCTGTCAACGATGAAGGTAAACGTCCCCTATATTGCTAAACCTCTCATGAACTTTGATGACTTGTAAGACATCGTTCTTAAAATATGGTTGTGGGAAGAAATGGGACAAAATGGTCACGATAACTGAGCTCCTGCGTATTTGTCTGTTAAAACAGGAAGCTGAAGAAGTCTGCGACTCGTTTTCTGGAACAGAAGACAAGTTGGGAAATGGTGGATCTCCGGGCACGCCTTCTTTCATCATCAGAGAGTTTACATTATCTCCAGAAGCACCTAGGAAACAAAAACATGTGCAGGCAGATGAACTTTCCAACGACTGCAGTTCTGGTTCCCAGAAATCTTCAGAGATTGGGGTGGATGAGCTTGGTGCTTATGTTATTGAAGATTCGGAAAATAGAAACTCATTGCAGGATGGTGAAGAATTTTGCTCGGAGACCAGAAAGGAAGTGGACGAGGGGCTTCAGACCTATGCTATTGAAGACTCTGAAGATAGAAACTCATTGCAGGACCGAGAAGTGGTAGAGGACTCCATCTCCTCCGTCCATGATGGTGGCAGTGTAGCTGCCCCATTGTGTGACCATTCCACAGATAATGCTGAAGTCAGTTCACGTATCTGAGATAACAACTGATGCGATTGAGTAGCCTTGAGACATTTTATGTTTCAGTATCTCTGAATATCATTAAGGCAGCGATGGCTTCGTGTATGCGAAACTGACAATACTGCATTTGGAAAGGCTTCATGGTAAGAGTAGAATAGAAGATGTATAAAATTAGAGAAAAAAATATGAGAAATGTTTTGTTTTCCCCCCCCCCTTAGGTGAAAGGAAATAGCAACACCCTGCAGGGATGGTCAAATACAATTACAGCCTAACAAATTGCATCCTTATCTGCTTTCACATTCCACGCAATCACATCTTTTTCCGGCAAGAGCATCGCCCACTCGGTTCACCTATCTAAGAGAGTGATGTTAAGAACAGTCCCAGTCTCTAATAACAACAATTGATGGAGAAAGATCGTAGTTTTTGGCAGATGAACCATGGCTAGGGAGTCTGAATTGCCAAAGTCCATTTCTCAGAACTTGGATTTCATCAGCTATGAGAACAGACAGACACTTGGCTGTTCTGGTCAAAATCTTAAAGACACAACTTGGAACTCTGGATACAATATCGCAACCTATTAAAATGGCAGGAAAGGAGACACATTTTGGCCCAAAGTAAAGGCAGGCACAACAACAGTGTTTTGTCCAATTGTTGGTTGTTACAATATATGGTTCAAAAGTAGAGGCACACAGTTGTTTGCATTCAATCATCCTCTTTTTCCTTGGACGAAGTTGCGTTTGGCTTCTGAGAAAATTTCTTCCACCTCTGCTTGTTCTTTTCCACCGCATTTGTGTTTTGTGAAAACCTCGTGAGTCCTTCCTTCAGTGCTCCAAGATTCACCCCGTTCCCCACTAGAATGCTTGTTACTCCCATTTTTGAGACCTGACATGTTAACAACCCAAACTTATACGGTAAGCATTATCACACAACCACCATCATATTCGTATCAGCATGAATAAAGCTCCAAGAGTTTCTTTCAGCTACCGTATTAATATTCCTATCCTCATCGTCGAAGAAGAGCATTGAGTTGAACGGTACACTAGTCCTCGAATGGATCTTCTGGAAATGTTCTGTTTTGTGTGTCCAGCTGGAAAAGATTTCCTGTGTAAACAGAGACATGCATTCGTTCAAAAAAATGAAGCACAACAGTAGCAAGTAGACCTTTCTGATGGGTTAACTCATACAAAGGACAACCAGCAGCAGCTACCCTTTTGTAAGAAGAAATATAACATTTGTATCTGTAGGCTACTGAATCATTTGCCGAGGGGAGTTGGATTCCCTACAGACAACATGTGCAGTAGAGGACAATTACTCCATAAAAATTGCTGTGCTGAAAGGCAGCTCTTAGAACATTCTCTAGTAAGCGAGCGACGATGCTACAATTACAATTACAAACACAAAATAATACTACTTCCACTAGATGCCTTCACGGATATCATATCACCATGCTATAGCCCTGAAATGAGGGTTCTCTTATTGGCAGCAACTGACTATCAAGAGAAGGGGCAAAACTATCCATACATAGTGCACTTCTTGAAGGCCCCTCCTTTCGTGTTCCATTACGGACCCACAAATTAGGAACCCAGGAGAAACAAATCTATCAAGCACTCAAAGATGTAAACAAAATTAAACGAGAACCGGAAGGTGGAATGCAACCCTGCCCCTAGAACAAAACCCAGAAATAGGAGGCTTTGACGTTGATTTTTATCACCTGCGCTACAAACATGGACTTGATGTTGAGTTTGTCAAGAAACGTGGTGGCAATATCAGGGGTGGGTGACCTGGATGCAATAGCCATATCAACCCCCTTGTCCTTCAGGGCGTACAATATGCCTTTGGCGTGAGGATACAAAGATGGCATTTCCCTTTTGGAGCGACATTCACTGCATAAATGAGAAGCAATGGAGGGATTATGCATACCGCCATATCATGTAAGAACTAACACATATTGGAGAGCCAGAAAGAAACATAAATCATTCATTCATTTCTTCAAGGTTTTCTTGAACAACTGCGAAGTCAAAAAGCAAGCACAAAGAAATATTTGCGTATCTGCGGAGGAACATCCGAGCGATATCACTCCATGAGCAGATATAACCTAACTAGGAATCATCGTAATGCCTCCATGGATAAAGGATCCATCTATCAAGAGAACACAAAAGAAAGAGGCAATTGGGTACCAGTAGAAAGGCCAGAGAGTGTAGTCGAGATCAAAGACGACTAATCTGGGCAGAACCTGAAACATCCCAATTATCTGCATCGCCTCACTTTTCACCTTCTCGTCTCCCATCCTTTCACCTCGCTCGAGTTTCTTTTTTTTCTTTTTTTTTGTGGTTGACTAAAAAACTTGAGTTCTGACTGGAATGCAAAGGGAAGAGATTATTGGACAATCAATAGTTCACCTAAGACCCTAATTATCAAGGGGCGACTTGGCAGCTGGCACCCAGGGTTCTGAAAACCGATTATTGGGCAGCTGAACGAATTTGGGTGGATCGGCATCCATTCTCATGCGACTCAGCTTCTCAATTTCATACAAAAATTCAACCGATCTGATCTCATTTTTTTTTATATAGGTATAATATACCACTCTATTATGTCATTTTATCAAACATGCCCTCTACTATTTTTTACATCAAACATGCTTTTATATTTTGTAAATATGATCAAATGTACTCTTCTGTTAAAATTTTTATTGAAAAAATCGTCAATCATGGTTGAACCAAAATTTAGACGACCCGACATCGACAAATGAGAGGAAAAATGTCAGTTTTATCCCCTGTTTTATTTATCTGGGTATCATAAAAGTGAAATTATTAGAATTATTTAGCTATACAAAAGAACCAAAAAAATTCAAAAGGAAAATTATTAGGGATATTTTAGTCATTTGTGTCACCCTAACCAAAGTTTGGCCGTGGTTAACAGTTTTTGGATGAAAATTTTAATAGAAGGGCATGTTTGATCATATTTCCAAAGTAGAGGGGCATGTTTGATGTAAGAAATAGTAGGAAAAAAATCTCAAGTTACACATGTTTTTAAAAAAAATTCTCAAAATACACATGTTATGAAAAAAAATCCCAATCTACATATGTTTGGGCCTTCACCGCGGCAGAGCAAGGCGTTGATTGCATCACCGCATGAAAGAAGAGCGATGATTGCATCACCGCATGAGAGGAATGCGGTGATTGCAACACTGCTGTAGAGGAAGGCGGTGAAAGTCTGACCTGCGTCGAAACTTTTGCGGCTTGCAAGATCTCGAAAAATTATGCGGAATATAAAAAATTCGATACGATCGGATAACCGAGCACAAAGTTACGTTTGTTTAAAGTTTCGAAGCAGGTCAGGCCTTCACCGCGGCGTGTAATGCAGTGAAGCATTCACCGCCTTCCTCTACAACAGTGATGCAATCAGTGCCCAATCACCGCCCTCCTCTCATGCGGTGATGCAATCACCGCCTTGCTCTGCCGTGGTGAATACCCAAACATGCGTAGATTGTGAATTTTTTTAATAACGTGTGTATTTTGAGATTTTTTTTTTAAAACATGTGTAACTTGGGAAATTTTCCAAATAGTAGAAGGGCATGTTTGATAAAATGATATAGTAGAGGGGCAAATTATACATATAATCCTTCTTTTTTATATCGAATTTCAAAAAATTTTGCACAGAAAAATTATATATTGTGCTCTACAAGATATCAAAATTTTGGAGCAACAGTTTTTAAGTCAGCTTACCGGTGGCATATCACGATATTATCTTTTTTTACACAATATTATCACTAACAATGGTATGATATCGTAAGGGTAAAATGTTGATATGATAATGATATGTGGTCTTATATTTGTCAAAATTATTTGATGACATCATATAAATGTTGATATGATAATGATATGTGGTCTTATATTTGTCAAAATTATTTGATGACATCATATAAATGTCATGTCATGATATTATTTCAATGATATAGTGTTTCAATCTCATATGAAAATTTAACAGACCTTAGCTCATTCGTTTTTACATCAGATTTCAAAATGCAAAGAAAATTAGATTTTTTCTGCATTAAAAGATAATATCCATTTTGATATTTTTCAGAGCAAATTTTTTTAAGTTAGTATACCACTGTCATATCATGATATTATCACTGATAACGGTATGATATCATAGTGGTACGATGTGTATATGAGAGTGACCTGATATAGGTATGAGCTTTTATATTTGTCTAAATAATTTGATGACATCATATCATGATATAATTTTGGCATGAGACTGATACGATGTTGGTATGGGGTCTTACGGTTTTTAAGACATAACAAAATAGATATCATTGTATAGATTTTCATTAATGCGTTATTTCTATACAATTTTTTAAAGTGTAGTTAAAATGAAGGAGGTGGGTTATCTACCATTGTATATCATTATGATATGATAGAGATTATAATAATAATATTACAACTGATATGTTATTAAAATGAATGCTATAGGATCTGATTAAGAAAAATAGGAGATTAAAAAAGTACCTTCTATATCCTCTGGATTCGTATCAGAAAACATGACAAAAAAAGTTGGGGTTGCGGAGTTACTAGTCAGCCCCTCCTATTTTTTGGTTGGGAATTTGATTTGGGTCCAAATGCACACATTTTACCCCTCATATCTTGTCCGTTTTGTTTAGTAGATCACCGTCCCTCGACCTATTTTACATTAGGTTGTGCCTGTTTTGGTACATTTCAGGTCCTAGCACGTGTGGGAAGGTCGAGGATGAGTTTCGGGTCATTTGGAGGTCAAAACGAGCCAAAAAGTGGAGGGCGAGCCCTATTCACGAATTGAAGGACTAGACCGTGAAGTGACCAATCTGCAGAACAGTTTTGCAAGTAACTAGCCTCAAGTCAGTTCACGGTCTAAGAGCGTGAGCTGAAGCCTCTGACAGTAAACTCGGTCTTGTCGGACAAATATAAAGACAACAGCGGGGAGAGAGAAAGGGGAGCTGGTTTTTGGAGAGGAAATAGTTTCTTTCTTTAGGTTTCGACCCAAAACACCAAAGGGGAGTTCTAGAGAGAGAGAGAGAGAGAGAGAGAGAGTGAGTTCTTGAGTGATCTTGGAGCTTAATTGAAGGCATTGATCAAGTTTGGAAGCAAGGAATCAAGCCTAGAAGAAGAAGATCTTGGGCTCCAATTTGTAATCTTTCTCTTCTCTCTCTAGAAACTCATCCTTTCTTAGGTTTAAGAGCCCTAGGCTAGATTTTGTTTCATTGTTGATGTATGTGATAAATTCTATATTTGATTGATGAATTTATCTATTCGATGGATATTTGGGAAGGATTGAATGAGTTTGGATTCCTTGACTTGCCAATTGAGCTTTGACCTAGGAGGGAGAAAATCCCCTTAGAGCCCCCTATTGGCGTCTTCGTGTCACTCGTATCGTATGTTGTCCGGGTAATCCCGGAGGGAGTTGATTCCATTGGTCTCCTAGCAATATATGAAACCCTAGGTTGAATAGAGCTCCTACCTATCCATCACTTCGCCATTCTGGGTCCGTCCTGAGTGAGTCAATCTCATAACGATAGGATAGTGAATCGATCTAGTTAGGCAACATCGATCCAAAGGTTAGAAATAGGGGGATTTAACCCAAGAGAGCTCCAAACCTTTTAAATAGCTAGGTTAGTGGTTATTCTAGGTTAGTTAGTTTAGTTTTATTAATCACTATCCTAGGTTGGCTAGATAATGAACCCTAAACTTGAAGTAGAGTAAGCATAGATCCCCGTGGTACAATAAATTCTTATTGCTTGCTTGCCCTATCCTACACCCAGTGGGTGGTTATACTTGGCAGGCATTGGGATGTGTAGTTAGAACGAGTCAAGTTTTTGGCGCCGTTGCCAGTGAACCATTCTAGGTTATTTGAAAAAGGGTTAGGTCGTTACTTTAGCAGTTTTGTTTTGTGTTTTGTTTACCCATTCTTTACTTTGAAGGGTGGTTTGTGTTTGTTCGATTTTGTTTTTGTGTTTTTGTCATTGTAGGTTGAATCATGGATCCCAATGGCTTCTACAACATGTGGGGGTATCCACAATCACCAGTATAGGGGTACCCCGAAGCTTCATGGAGTGACCAAGAAGGTGGAAGCCAAGGAACCGGGTTCTATGATCAATCTCCCTCAAGAAGAAGAACCATACCAATGGGGATATGAAGAGGCTTCCCCATATAAAGAAAATTTCCCTCCACAAGTCGAGGAGAAATCCAAGTTGGAGTTGGCAATGGAAACTTTCTTGGGACAATCCTCAAGACCATTTGCCACTCCACACCCGGAGCCAAAGAGCCAATTGGAGATCATGGTGGAGCGGTTTGCACGAGGCATCGATGAAGGGTGCTCGAACTTGGTTCTCCCCCAACCCGAAGTGAAGTCTAAGTTGGAACTTGCAATAGAGAAATTTGAAAGAACAAGCTCCAACACGGATTTCCAACCCCTCCCTCCTCCCAGTATGACACTAGAAGAGAAGGTGGCACGCGCTTGTGCAAGCTATCGACTCTCATCACTAGAGAAGAAAGAGGAGGTTGAAGGAGCGATCAATTACAACTGTGTAGAGCAAGACGAACTCACCCCGGAGAGCTTCTGTGGTGAGGATGAACAAGAAAGCTGCATTGACGACTCTCATCATTTCCCCTTCCCGATAGCAAATTTGAAGACCAAGTCACGAGTGTGGAGGAGCAAGAGGATCCTTTCTATGATCTTGCATGGCATCTTGTCCTCCAAACCGTGCTTGAAGACATGAATGACAAGGTTAAAGAAGAGGTTGAAGAGGGGGAAGTTAGCATTAAAAAAGAGGAAGATCTTGATTGTTCCCAATGGGAGGAAATTGAAGAAGTAGGGCGGGAGGTTGAGGAAGAAGATGAAGGAGCAAGTGGCTTCCAAGATGAGGATGAGGTCGAGGTGGATGAAGCATCCACAAGTTACAAGGACTACGAAAGCTTTCCACCCAACCTCGACGCGCTACTTGAGAATGACCCATTTGCGGCTCATTGCCAAGCCAAGGCCAATCCATCGGTGATCTCTCTTGGTGGATACGATGGAAATCGAGCGATGCTGCGTTACATGGTGTGGGGCAAAGAGAAGAAGGAAGAAGGAAAGAAGAAGAGGTATCCTTGGTGGAGCCTCAAAGCCACTCAAGTTCACGAGCCCTCAATCATGGACTTGTACAAAGCTAGTGACTTGAGACACCACCTCACCGATGAGAACCTCAACTTCAAGGAGGTTCTTGGGTGGACCAAAACTTGAAGAGTAACCGTTCGGTTCATGACAGTAAAGAAGCGCTTGGTGGGAGGAAACCCAACCATCATCGGTGTGCATCATTTTTCCTTTCAATAAGACGACCAATGGAAAGCTTTTGGTGGTGTTTTGCCGTCTCCACGCTCTTCCGGAGCTCACGCGCCCTTCGCTCCCAGTCACCAACTTTCACACCCTATCCGCTAACATTGTTCTACCTCCTTATTTTATGACATTGAGGGCAATGTCAAGCTTAAGTGTGGGGGGGGGGGGGGTAGTATATTATGCTTGTATGTCAATGATTGGTGTGATTTTGAGTGCTTGGAGCCTAGTTGTACACCTAAATTTTTAAAATTTGAGGGATCCAAGCATAGAAACTTATACATTTGTGTGATCATAGATGCACTTTAATAAGACCCTGGCGGGTGTATGTTATCAAAGTTACGCAACCACACGATCAATCCGAAAATTGATTGAACTGAATCAAGAACAACGCGTTCTTAATACAAAAATCGGATAAAACGGAACCAATGGACAATTCCACACTTGGTGAAATCTCGTATGGTATAGAAGGGTAGTTGCTCGACCATGATTGAAGGGACTATTCAATCGATACACAAGCTCAGCAAGTTTGGAATCCACCAAACACAAAACAAGTCTCAACTTGCACAAAACCAAACGGTTTCTTTTCTATTCAACTAAGTCTAAGTTTTTACAACGAAGATAGAAGGCTATTTATAGCCAAGAAAACCTAATACAAACCTATATGAACAAGGAAACAAATAAGGTAATATTCTACTCTAAAAAGGTTACAAAATTCGGCCACAAACTCTTTTTCTTCAAGCACAAGTAAGCTGCCAGCAAACAGTTCAAAAACAGTTTTCGTACAAATTTCACGCCTTTCGTTCGAGGCCTTCCAGAACTCCAATATTTCATCCAATTCCTTCCATTGGTAGATAAACATACATATTTTCATGTTGTAGAAGTCTTTGGACTTAAATCCTTTCCATGCTCCTCAAATTGAGCTCCAAGAAACGGCCCACAGGAGTAGCCCTGGCGGCCGCCGAGTTTGTAGCTCCTGTCGGCGGCAAGGACGGGCAGCCCCTTCGCCTGCACCAACCCCAGCTCCACCACTCGCCTTCTGGATCCTTCCCACTGAGATCTCTAAATGGAGAGCTCTTCCTCTTTGTGACCTGCAAGCCAGAAAGAAACTCGAAGAGAGTCAGGTTCAAAGACTTTGACCACTGCGGTTAATTCTGGTTGCAGGCCTGCCATACAGAGCCCCACCAATGTTTCCTCGGTCATCTCATTGCACTTATTCCCTACCTTCAGGAACTCGGCCCGATACTCTGCTACCGACCCCGTCTACTTCAGCTTGGCCAGCTGCTCCTGCGCCCATCCCTCGGCTCTCCCGAATTAGAACCGTAACTCATCCTGAAACCTGGCCCAAGATACACTCCCTTACTGCATAAGCCCTCTCAGTCCATTCCCACCACTGGAGGGCATCTCTCTCCAAGTAGAAGGACGCTAGATGCGCCTTCCTTTCCTCCATGATCGGGTGGTTTTTGAACCACCTCTCCGCCGCATATAAGCACAGTCCCACATCACCATTACCATCGAATTTAGGAAACTCGATAACTGGGGGTTTAGCCCTTAACACCAACTCATCATCATAGTCATACAGAGGGTTACTGTACCCATACCTGCCGGTGTCCAAGTGTGGTGGTTGACGACCGGGTCCATAGTGAAGGTAGTCAGGCTCATCACCATGTTAGTGGGAGTAGGCCCAGTTGGCCATTTCCCGCTAATAGTCTTCATCACGCCCTGATTTGGTCTCGGACCCTTACCCTACTTCCAGACCCTGGCCACCTCGTCCCCTGTATGCTCAAGGAGTTCCCCACGGGGGGTACCCGTCTCAGGTCCTTGCTGGCAGTGCCCAGCACCTCCTCCAGTCGTGCCCCAGCTACTGCCCCTGAGAAGTCGACCCAGTTTAGTTCTGAACTGTCTGACCGATTCTAGTTCGATCGATTCTGGTCCGACCGGTCATCGACCCGGCTGACCACTATATTCGACCCAACTTTGGGTCAACTACCCATCCCCGTCCAGCACCATTGGGCCCTGGGTCCACCCACCAGCCTTACCGGTCCGCGAAGCTCAATTCATTGTCTTCTTTTCGGTGGGTCGATCCGTGGAAGCTTGGGCTGCTCAGCATCCCCGTTCCGCCCCTCCGCGGCCCAGTCGGCCACGACTCTCCATTGAACTCAGCCATCTTCTTCTTCTCGCAGGCCTCGTAGATCTACTGGGCCGTCGGGACTAGCAGCAAGCCCGACCCGCTAAACAGCGGCCTCGGTGGAGCCTCCTCGCCACGCTCCCCGTCTCCTACCTCCACAACCGTGGCCCCCGCCGGCTTTGGCTTCGCCACTGCTGTCTCCCTTCTGACCGCGAGCCCCGGTGGCTTGGGTTCCGCCGCCGCATGCGCCCCTCTACGCGCGCTCGGATCCATGGCGCCTGTCGCTACCGCCGCCACTGACCGGGGCTCCGGTGGTTGCTCGCGGTTCTTCGGAACGCCGATCAACACCTCCCTCATAGTTTCCGCGATGGCCTTGCACAGATTCTTAGTCACCATCTTGCCCATGTCCTCAATTGAGACAGCGATTTGCCCGCCCAACGCTTCGATGGCGCGGATCGAGCCATGTGATGCTACGGCTCCCCTCTCGGTGGACTCTGTTAGGTTTTCCAGCGTCGTGACGATCACATCATACTTGTTTGTTGTTAAGTCTTTCACTGTCAAAACGAGCCATAAAGTGGAGATTAAGCCTTGTTCACAGACTGGAATTTCAATTCACGGGGGTACCACGTCACTAAATTGTGAGTGTGTGAATGAATGATGTAGATGAATGTTATGGCCTATTCTATGAATTCTTTGGAGCCTTTATGAATGCCCAACCTTAATGAATGCCCAAATTTCTCAAAATTTTGAGGGCTTCAAGCACATGTGTCTGAATGAATTGTCTATGGCCTACATTTTGTGTGTTTGGGAACCTAGATTATTGCTTGAAATTGAAAATTTTAGGGGTTTCAATCACAATTGTCCCTAGCATGATCTTTCTCAGTGTTCTTTGGATTGTTTGATGATTATGATGGTGTGGACTATAGGGAATAGTGAGGTGCCATGAGAATCTTCGATAATTTCCTCTCAGTTGTGTAAAAGTGTTTGTTATGGAGGTTAGGACATGTGTGTGGGACTTCCCAAATAGGACTCCAAAATGTTTTGCAAAAGGTGCTCTGAACTTGAAAGTTTTTCAAAAGATTGAGGTTCTCGTGTGAGAGGCAACCAGGCATAATGTTTGAGTTGAGTCGTCTATGAGTCTCCCAGTGCACACGTGAAGTGTCCAGACCTCCTTCGTTGACAAGGTCATTAGCATAGAGTGTGCATGCCACGAAGAGATGGAAGTAAAGTTGACTCGTCCTGAATACCACAAAAAATTCCCGCCTAAGTTCCAAGTATAAACCTTAGTCGGGTGCAATACAGGATAAGTATGTTTAAATATCAACCCGGGCCGGTCCGTATACCCCTACTTTAGTCATTCGAATCATTATCTAGCAACAAGGTTTTGGTTGGAAAGTTTGCTAATTAAAATAAAACAAGACCAAAGTGAATGGTTTTGAAAGCTCTTTGGGGGGAGGATCACTCGGGTGTCGCTTCCCCCTAACTACTGCCATGGTACGTGAATTGAAACGATTGCTATGGGCAAGGTAATCGCGAACCGCTAGGGGATGCAAATATGGTCGTAGACCACACTCACTATTGCTAAACCAAGGAATACATTATAGGCTGTCACTCGGCCCTCTCGGTTTAGGAAATCCATGGTTGACTTACTCTCTCACTCAACCCAAGGGTTGGACGGCTCAATTGCGCTTAACCAAATTGCTTAATCCAAGATTGAGGTTTGCCCGAAATTAACCTAGTTAGGAGACTTAAAAAGCCCTAGGAATACCAACTCAATTGAGTCTCCCTTGGAAGGGGGGTTTTCCTCTCTAATCTAGGTTAAATGGCTAATTAGATTGCTAAGCACAAACATGCACAACCCTTAGATTGCTAAGCACAAGCATGCACAATCCTTAGATTGCTAAGCACCAACATGCACAATCCTTAGGTTGCTAAGCACAAACATGCACAATCAAAATGAATAATACCTCAATCATTGAATTAAACAACACCCATAAACAATCATTCAATTCACATAACAGAAAACTACATGGTAACTAGTTAGGGTTTCACAACACCCAAGTGAAAAAGGAATCTACTCCATGCTAGAAATGGGAGAAACACAAGGGAAGAGGTAGAAACCATCATGAAGGAGGCTTCTAATCTTCTTGGCACTTGTGGAGAAACCATCATGAACTTCTCTTGTGGAGAATCTTCCCAAATCCACTCTTGAAGCAAAACCCTAGCCTCATTCTCCTTTGGTTCGTCTTTCTCTCTCTAAAATCTTAAGAGGGCTTTCTCACTCAAATGGGCTCTCCCTTCTCTCTTCCTTTCAACTCATCTTTTAAACAGGGAGCGAGCTTAGTTCATGGTCGTGAAATCTGAAATGCATCTGTGAACTCAAGGCTGGTGCCAAAATGCACCGCTTCGCTTGCACATGTTCACGGTCCACACACAACTCTTGTTCATGGTCTTAGTGACCGTGAACTCAATTAGCGTCAGTATTTTGAGTTTTGGCCCTGGGAGCCACAAAGTTCACAGGCAACAACTCTTCTTCACGGTCATACAAGACCATGAACATCCAAGGAAAACCACGAACTCGCCGTTTTTCACCTCTTCTCTCGGTTTTTGCTCCTTTTTGTCCAACTTTCGACTCCGGGGCTGGTTTCACCTGTTAAATCCTGAAACAAGCTAAAACACGAGAAACCTAGAGTAAAAACACCCTTTTAGGAGTGAAAATGCCACAAACTCCTAAGGAAAATGGGGGCAAAGCATGTACAATTAAGCCTGAATCACTCCCCCACACTTAGACGTTTGCTTGTCCCCAAGCAAACCATTTCACACGAGGTAATATTTCAGCCTACACAAATACTTTGGGGACAACTCAAAGGGCACAAAGTGGGAATTCTCAATGGCTATTGGTAATTAACACATCGACCGTTGCAAGCAATACCGACATCCACCATAAACGACATTCGAGGCCACCAAAAGTGGGCAAACGAAAAGTTCTCACCTTGTTCATGGATCGTTGCAAATCTCAACGAAACCACTTATCAACCACAACTTACCATGCATATAATTCAAGTCCGAGCAACAAATGGAAAGGCAACAAAGGTCCTCACCGGGGTATGATATGGCATGCAAAACATGAATGAATCACTCACTCACTCTCAAGACCAGTGGGGTCGGGACCTTTTTGGTGCAAAAGATGTGCCCAATCACAAACACCCGACCCTATCGTCTCAACACCATGGCGGTAACCTCTAAATGCTAGAGTTCACGAGATGGTTATCACCACTAGCTTGTCCGGAGGTCTTGGACACTGGTTCAGATGACTGGCAATTGTCTTGGACATGGGGAAAAGGCTTTTTGGGTGGTGGCAATAATGATGTGAGGTTATACATCTTCAACCTAGACCCGAAGGTTCTATGGTTCCGACTAAAACCCTTCTCCTCAACCAAAGGCCACTAGCATCGCCCAAAAACCTTATCTCTCCCTCCCAAACTATCACCCATCGCGAACTACATTAAAGCACTCTTCCTTGGTCTACTCTTGCTAGCACATTAAGGTTTGGTAGTGAAGGAATTCTAAAACAATGTGGGGGTTTCAATGGCTTGAGTTCCAAGAAACCCCTCCTAGAGTATGCACTTTGGTTTTTCGTGTCGCTATCTACTTTATTTACCCCATTTTATTACCTCTTTTTTGTTTCTCTTTTCTTTTCTTTCTTTTTCTTTTCTTTTTGAGGGGGGGGGGGGTACTAGAGAGTAAAAACACTTGCCACCTATGAAATTAACGACAAATGCTCTCTTTTTGAAGAACTCACTCCAACACTTCATTTTTTATTCCTAGCAAGAACCGCACACAAACCTCCTATGTAGAACCTCAATGGAACTCGAAAGTGAGAGCTCCGGGATACAAGGACGACTCATGTTTAAACACAAAGAAAGGATTGGGGGTCGTTCTATCAACACCATTAAGCTCACATGCACGAAGCTCCTAACTTAAGAACGACCCTCGAAGTCACAAGGCTCAAAGGGGTTGACTAGTTGATAACACATTTCTAACAATCAACATTTGGGTGTGGACTAATCTTATGCCTCCATCATAGTCACTAGTGACAACTGTGATGTTACACACCATGGTAAGAGGGATCTAAGCACACAAGAAGAAAACGATCGGCTCAAAGCTCACATGGCTACCTAGTCACCCAACCATCTATTCCAATTCACAAACACAATGCATGGCAATTGTAATCAACAATTAATCAAGTCAAGACATCCATTCATTTATGCACACATGAGAACTAAAATTTTGACCAATCCTAATGGACCTCTCAGTCATCATGATTGGATATACTCGATCACATGCAACAATTCAAGATCAATGCCAATAAAGACGAGAATTTCCCACACACCGGCCACTTTGATCATGCAAACATTGCTCGGAGCCCTCACATTTTTGAAATTTGGGCATATATCAAGGCTCCAAGCATCAATCACACTCACACAAGAATAATTGTAAACTACCCCCCCCCCCCCCCAACTTAAACTTGACATTGCCCTCAATGACGCAAGAAAGGGGTAGAATGTTGTTACCGCTTAGGCTTGGTGAGTGAAGGTTGGAATCGAATCCCGTGTAGGATATTTTGAGCTTCAAGGAGAGACTAAAACACACACACACAAACACAATACGAATCACTCGAGGCGAGGTTATTACACAACACAATACGACAGTAGTAGTAGTAGGACAAACTTGCTAACCTCCGTTGGGTTGCCTCCCAACAAACGCTTCTTTAACGTCTTAAGCTAGACGGTTGGGGATCGATAACGACTTGGATCGTGATGCCACCAAGAATGGATCCACCACTCTCGTGGCGAGGCTTGTAGCCTCCCATCTTAAGCTCCATGAGTTGGCCCTCTTGGTTAGCAAACTTCGCTTTGGCCTTCTCCCTCTTTCGGGTTAAAGCTTCCTTCATCCTTTGCCTCCAAGCATTCATCCTCTTATCCTTGGGCATAGAACCCTCCTTTACTTCCTGCTCAACATCACCAAACGCAACACAAGTAATAGTGGGGTTTGCCTTTAGAGGCTCTCCTCCACTCACATTCACATCATTTGAAACCACTTCCTTCACCTCCTCACTCCTAGCCTTAGGGTCAATTTCAAGCTTGATTCTCTCCTTACCATCCCTCAGAATCAAGGTCCCCTCATTTACGTCCATCAATCCTTGGCGGTGGCAAGGAAGGGACGACCGAGTATGAGTGGCATATCTGAGTCCTCACTTATGTCGAGAATCACGAAATCGGTCAGATAGCAAAACTTGCCCACTCACACCAACATGTCCTCCACAATACCTCTCGAGCTAATGAGCAAACGGTCGGCTAAGGCGATTTTCTATATGATGATTACCTATATCAAGAGGGATAGTAAAGCTACCTGGGTCAGACCGCTTTTTGGGCAAGCGGTTGAGGAGGTAAGCTGAACACTCCTCGCCAAGAATCACGTTGGCGAGGCCTTCGAGGTTAGGCTTCTTGGCGAGTAATCCTTTGAGGTACTTGGCATATCTGGCATTTGAGTCATTGCTTCAAGGAAATGGATATTGAGGTGGAGGTTGCGGAGTATTTCCATGAAACCTCCATACTCGTTCTCCAACCTCTCCTTGTACATCCTCATGGGGTAAGGAAGAGACGGCGTGTACCCACTCACCGGCGATGCCTTCTTTGCCGCTTTCCTCTTTCTCCTCGAGGGCTTCTTCTCTCCATCCTTTGGGTTAGTATCTTCTTTCTCACTCACTTCTTTATTGGCGACTTCCGAAGTCAATTTCACATTCCCCACTTGAAATGCATTCACCCCGGCATGATCCTTGAGGTTCGCCACGGTTTGGGAAGGTAGGCCTCCCTTTGGTCTCTCGGTGAGGATGCCGGCAAGATTGCTAATTTGCACCTCCAAACTTTGGAGGCTCACTTGATGGCTTTGGAGACCCGCCTTAATCGAGTTAAACTTGGTATTCTCCACATCCATAAATTGCTCTATCTTCTCAAACTTTTGAGCACTCGTACTCACGAAGGTGTTCACTAGGTCTTCAAGCTTAGATAGCTTGTCTGGTTGTTGTTGTTGTTGAAACCCTAGGGCACCTTGTGCTTGGTACGGTTGTTGAAAGCTTGAGCCTTAGACTTGAGGCCTTTGTTTGATGAAGGTTGACCGGGGTTGGTAATTTCCCGTAGGGCCTTGAAAACCTGGGGGGCCTCGGATTAGTCGGTGACGACCAAGAAAAATTTGGGTGGTTGCTCTATTCGGGATTATAAGTATTGCTATACGGGTAGTTAGCCCTAGCATTTGCCACAAAGTTGACTTGTTCCTCCGGAGCGGTTTCCTCCTTCATTGCCTGACACTCTGCCATCTCATGGCTAGTGCTCGAACACCAGTCGCACGACATCACCGACCTTTTTCCTTGCCTCTTATCTTCAAGCATTACCTTTATCAACTTATCCAACTTCACCTCAAGCGGAGCGCTGGCTCCCATGCTTCTCACTCCCCTATCATTGCTTCTCCTTTCACTTCTAGTCAACTCCCAATCGTATCCCTTGAGGGCTATGTCTTCAAGTATCTCGTTTATTTGGGGCGGAGCAATATTCATCAATTTCCCTTGACACAAAGAGTCAATGAGAATTTTGTCTTCTTGCATTAGGCCTCCGTAGAAGGTTTCAATCCGAAACTGTTCTTCAAACCCATGGTGAGGGCACTGAAGAAAGTAATCGGAGTACCTCTCCCAAGCGTCCCTCAAGGTCTCGTCCTTTTCTTGCTCGAAATGGGTAATCTTCTTTCTCCACACTGCCGTCTTCGAAGGTGGGCAGTAGCGAGTCATAAACTTCTTCAGGAGGTCGTCCCATGTGGTGATTGACCGTGTTGGGTGATTGTTTAGCCATCTAAGTGCTTTCCCCAAAAGTGAATAGGGGAAAAGCTTTAGTTGCAAAGCTTCGACTGGCAAACCATTGAGTTGCAAGCTCCCCGCGAGCTCCAAGAATCTGTGCACGTGCTCTCTTGGTGACTCACTCTCAAGGTCGTGGAAAAAAGCATTGCTTTGTATCATAGTAACTAGAGCCGGCTTGATCTCGAAATTGTTTGCCGCCACTGGAGGATGTAGGATTGGAGATTGAATGTCCGTCGGCCGTGGGGCCATATAGTACCCCATTTTCCTCAGGGCTTCCTCTTCCTCCACCGTATTGTTTAGCTGACGAGCTTGGGAGGCTCCATCTTGTCTTTGGTTCCCCGCCAGTTCTTCTCCAACAACGGGTTCAAAACCCACTTCGCTTCCCCCTAACTACTACCATGGTATGTGAATTGAAACGATTGCTATGGGCAAGGTGATCGCGAACCGCTAGGGGATGCAAATATGGTCGTGGACCACACTCACGATTGTTAAACCAAGGAATATATTATAGGCTGTCACTCAGCCCTCTCGGTTTAGGCAATCCATGGTTGACTTACTCCCTCACTCAACCCAAGGGTTGGACGACTCAATTGCGCTTAACCAAATTGGTTAATCCAACATAGAGGTTTGCCCTAAATTAACCTAGTTAGGAGACTTAAAATGTCCTAGGAATACCAACTCAATTGAGTCTCCCTTGGAAGGGGGGTTTTCCTATCTAATCTATGTTAAGTGGCTAATTAGATTGCTAAGCACAAACATGCACAACCCTTAGATTGCTAAGCACAAGCATGCACAATCCTTAGATTGCTAAGCACCAACATGCACAATCCTTAGGTTGCTAAGCACAAACATTCACAATCAATATGAATAATACCTCAATCATTGAATTAAACAACACCCCTAAACAATCATTCAATTCACATAACAGTACATGATAACTAGTTAGGGTTTCACTACACCCAAGTGAAAAAGGAATTTACTTCATGCTAGAAATGGGAGAAACACAAGGGGAAGAGGTAGAAACCATCATGAAGGAGGCTTCTAATCTTCTTGGCACTTGTGTTGAACTTCTCTTGGGGAGAATATTCCCAAATCCACTATGGAAGCAAAACCCTAGCCTCATTCTCCTTTGGTTCGTCTTTCTCTCTCTAAAATCTGAAGAAGGCTTTCTCACTCAAATGGGCTCTCCCTTCTTTCTTCCTTTCATATCATCTTTAAACAGGGAATGAGCTCAGTTCACGGTCGTGAACTCTGAAACACGTTCGTGAACTCAAGGTTAATGCCAAAACGCACCGCTTCGCTTGCACGTGTTCACGGTCCGCAGCTCCTGTTCATGGTCTTAGTGACCGTGAACTCAATTAGCGTCAGTAGCTTGAGTTTTGGCCCTGGACGCCTCAAAGTTCATGGGCAACGGCTCTTCTTCACTGTCATACAAGACCATGAACATCCAAGGAAAACCGTGAACTCGCCATTTTCACATCTTCTCCCGGTTTTGTTCCTTTTCATCCAACTTTTGACTCCGAGGCTGGTTTCACCTGTTAAATCCTGAAACACGCTAAAACACGAGAAACCTAGCGTAAAACCACCCTTTTAGGAGAGAAAATGTCACAAACGCCTAAGGAAAACGGGGTCAAAGCATGTACAATTAGGCCGGAATCAAAAGTTTATGCGACTTTGATTATTCTCGAGGCACCACCGATGAATGATAGTGCATACTATTGTTTTTGTCCCACAAATTGTACTGTTTGAGTAGGTTTGCATGGATAAAAGCAAACATTTAAGTGTGGAGGGGGGGGGGTGATTCAGACGCATTTATACAACTTTTACCCCTTCATATCTTTAGCGTTTGACTTAGTAATCCTCGTTCTTCGACCTATTTTACGCTACTGTATGCTTCTTTGGTAACATTTCAGGTCCTAGTACGTGGAAAGGTCGCGGGTGAGTTTTGGGACATTCAGTGGTCAAAACAAGCCAACAAGTGAAGTCTGTGAAGGTTCACGGGTTGGGTGTCAGGAACACGCCCTGAGGGAGTCAAAATCTCCCCCAAACCGTGAAGTTACACAAGTTTCTAGCAACTTATGCTCACTTCATTGCCTTGAGGGAGTGAAAATAATACCAAAACCGTGAAGTGTGCTCAAAAATCAGTTTTTGTGTTGAGCTCACTGTTGCACGCTTCACGACCATGAAGTTAACAACAAAATCATGATCCTTGCACTTCAACAAGTATAAATTAACAGTGACGGGTTTTGAGCAGGGGAGCTGTGTTCTTGACCCCAAAACACCCATGGGGCGATTCTAGAGAGAGTGACTGATAACATCACATTTGCACATGTTTGCATGCTCATTTCTCGATCTTATTAGCTTGGATTTGTGTATTCCTTGGCTTATTTATGCTAGGTTGTGCTATTTTGCTACATTTCAGGTCCTAGTCGGTAAAAAGAGGCCTAGGAGCAAGTTTTGGGTAATTTGGAGATCTTTTGGCAACTCGAGACGCGCTAGATGGAAAACACGGGCATGCCTCACAAAAGTTGGCCATTTTTCCCCAACTGCTGCTTGTGTTTCAACTGCAGAGTAAAATTTTGAAGGAGGAAAGCACAGGCGCTAGGAAACGCGACCATGTTTTCCTTGTGTTGGTTGTGTTTCATACGTCGAGAGTATTTGGCTGAGAAGCAGGAAAACACGGGCATGGTGGAAACAAGAAACACGACCGTGTTTCTTCCTACCGTGACTGTGTTTCTCCCCGTCCCAGACTTAAGTGGAGCGGTTGACTGGGTCAAACATGGGCAAAAGGAAAACACGGGTGTGTTTGCGATCGTGTTTTGCCTAGTTTTGGGGTAATTTGGCATGTTCGAGCTTTTGGAGGGTATTCGACTATTGGGAGAAAAACAAAGTTCTAGATAGAAAATGCTACAAAGAACAAGTCCTTGGAGCTATTTGGAGCTGAGATATCACCATCGAAGCCTAGATATCATCCATAGGAGTGAAGATTGGCATCCAATAGCATATTAAACACATCATTATGAGTATGACTCCGATGCATGGTAAATCAAGTGTGTAAAGGGTATATAAAGTTGATGGTAAAAGCATTCAAAGTTCAAAATTGTTTATCAAAAGCTTCACCCTTGTGTTTTGAGACTCTAATGCATGGTTAATGGTTTATGCTTGGATTGGATTGCATGATGTTCTTGCATGTTGATGTGGCTACGATTCTCTCGTGCTATTGTTGACCTTGTAAATATCCACTACCTAAGATTAGGATTGAGTAATGCTTTCTAGTATTTATTGAGTTGTATGATTGTGAGTAATGTTTGCTTCGGGACAAGCAAAATTCAAGTGTGGGCTATTTCTGATGACACTCAATTTATAGTGTCTATCACTCTCATATTTGGTACATTTTCCTCTTCTATCAATGCATCTTTAGTAGTTTTGATGATATATCATATGAAAGTCATAAATATTTTATTTATGAGCTTATGAAAGACATTGAGTGTGTTTTGTACTATTTTACACTTTTTGTTGTTGTTTTGTGTTTTCAAGGAGATAATGCACTCAAGATGAATATGGATCACCAAGGGACCCAATGGATCAGAAGGATGTGAAAAATATAAGCTCATGGGCTCCAACGAAGATGGATTCTGACACCGGAAGCTCGAGTTATGAACTAGATGATAGTATTTTGAAGAGGATACAGGTCGAACGAAGTCTATACAAGCTGAAATTTGATAAGCATCCCAATGAGCCCAAGAGGAAGAATCCCACAAAAAATGGGCTTATTAGGTGAAGAAATCCCTACGATAGATACTACCATCGTTCGACCCAAGCCCTCCAAAGAACTTCCTCTGCAAGCTACTTCGACCACAAGTAGAAGGAATCCTACTTCAAGTCGTTCAATGAAAATTTTGACCGACTTTAGGAGGAAAAGAATAGAATACTCCTTCTATAACTAGTATATATAGGAGGCTAGGCTAGAGCTTTTGTACACACCTTTTACCAGCACTCTGCCCTATGGGCACGCATAGTAATCCATAGAGAGGAGAATTGCTGTTGAAATTCGAAAGAGAAACATTCACCATCGATGCCTGTATCTATGATGATGTTGTTCTACTTCTTTATGGCATGCTAGTCTATCTGTTTAAGGATGTGAATTCATGATGTTTAAGCATTCGTTTTAATGAATCAATGAGATGCTCATTTCGATCTACGCTTTGGTTCATCGATGCTTGTTCCTTTAGAAGCTTTATTGAACACATGCTTTAATCATCTATTGTCTATGATCATCGATGCTCTTTATCATATAATGTTTGATTGTTCTATGTGTATGAATGTTCTATGCTCTTTATCATTATGAAAGTTAATATAGTATCGTTTATACTACTATTATGGGAGACAAGGAAACTAATCTGTATCACAAGCGGCGCATGCACACAGTGGCGGAGGCAAGATTTGAAACTACCCCTGTCTTTTTTTTCAAAATATAAAAAAATAATTAATAATTAATATAGATAAAGAAATAATCGACTTATACAATTGATGTTTGCATAAACAACTATGACGAATTTTCATACTCTCAAAGAAATGCAAAATACATTCGTTGTCTATACTCTTAAGTAAGCCTCTTTCAATGTATCATATTAAACAATCATTAGCAAACTGATCGCCAATTCGACTTCGAAACTTGATATTAATATAGTTCAAGCTAAAAATTTTATTTCTACACTTACAGTTACAATTGGTAGAATCAAAACTAGTTTCAGAAGCAAATAAACTGACGGATATGACTTGCGTACTTTTGTCTCCATCATTATCGAGATAATTCATCAATTTCTTTCAATTAATGAAATCTCATAACATCATGATAATACCTAACAAGCTATTGTCGAATAATTGTTATGAATAAGACAAATAAATTAATTATTTTTTATCAATTATTAAACAAGTAATGAGCTATGATGTAATAGCAAAATATCCTTATATTACTTGTAAGTGTTGAGTACACATATATATGGAGTATTTTTTACCAACCAAATATTACCCCTGTCCTGGGACAAGGACAATATAGGCTGGCTCCGCCTATGCATGCGCGAGTAGAGAATGACCTTAGTGGAAGGGAAAGGGCATCATAATAGAATATGCATAGATGCATCTTAGGGAGGATAATGAATGCATGATCATCTAGAATGGACTACCTAAGCATTCCTTTTCATTGTCTTGCATCGTTTACTATTTTCTTTTATTAGTCGAGTAGATTTCACATAAGGTCTCCTCAACCCTTTTACTTTAAATTGCATTGACAGTTCGAACACGTCCTAAGATATTTATCACTCGATTTTTATGTCAATGTCTAAAGTAATCAGACTTGTTTCTCGTTGCAGTTTTCATGATTTCTCAATTTATAAACTAAAAAAATCTATTTTCTTGTTACGATTTTTCCATTTTTTCATATGTGGTCGCACGGGCTTGGATCATGTCAGTAACCTTAGAGTTAGTAACTATGAGTGACCGTCCACATCAACATCCTCTCTTTTATGGAAAGCCTTTAATCTTTTTTCCCTTTAATCTTTAATGGACGATTTCTGTCTCGTTTTAAGATTTTTTTTCTTTTTTTTCCCAAAAGATACTTCGTATTGAACGAGATAACCAAGTTACATAAGAGTTAGCTGGACGACCAAAGTCAGGAACGAAAATTGAACCCTATCAAACTAGGGAGCAATGAAAGGGATTTTTTGGCCACCATATGATGGGCCACCCTATTACAAGCACGACCAACAAAACAAACACTAAACTGGTGGAAACATTGTCTCATCAACTTAATCTCTCGCGTTTTAATTCAGAATTTAAATTTCTTTCACAGATACATCGAACTAATTTTGCTCTTCAAAATGATATCCACTTTGAATTATTTTAGAACAAAAATAAATTGAGACATTTTTTATGAGTCTATACCATATTGTATTGACTGTATTAAATAAGAGCATACCATATGGTATGAAAGCGTACCATGGTGGTATGAACATATCAAGACTGTAGGATGGTTGAATACATGACAATAGGAGTATACTAACTTTCATTTACGACTTTCATCATTGTGTACCACAAGTTACCACCCCCATACCAGGTAGGTATTGTATGATATTTTTTTATCCTATATTTTTTTCACCCAGAATTTTGTAGATCCAATAGATTATGATGAACTCATTCCTTCTGTACAAATATTTTCAAAATCGACTTTAAAACGAAGAAGATTACATATGGTATGGAGTTGGTAACGAGAGTTATGAAAAATAAATTCTCAAAAAATATTGAAAATTGACCTCATTTTGTAGAACACAATGAACTCGTTCCATCTGTGGAAAAAAATTGAAATCCAAGTTAGAACGAAGAAGATAAGAGGCGATTAAGAAAACTAGGGAAAATAAAAATGCATTTAATTCACGACCGTTAGATCTGCATTTTTGGGCCGACTTAAATCCAAAAGTCCAGATTTAGTTACTCATGGCTGATGTGGACAACTTAGGTCCAAAGAATTTTTTTGCCATAAGGTGGCCTACTCTATTAACTCAGCGAGTAACATGCGAGCAAGAACAAAACTCAAGGGAACTTGCCAAACAAAAAATATCTTCCAGTATCGCACCTCCCATCGCATGATGGAAATCTCCTGCCAAGATCCATCGGAGAATCAGTAGTGAGTTTCCATGTAATTTGAGCGAAAGAAAACTGTTGATGACGGGGTTGTCGCTGATGTCATATTCCTTGCTAAAGGCATCGATAGAGCCTTCAAATCACCTTACACCGCAATCCTTGTTCGTGACGCCGACTCCCACCACCTCCTGTAAAAGGTTCGTCGGCCGATCTCGGCGGGGACACCCTTCGACGCTCAAGTCAGTATCGAGTGGTAAGTTGACGGGAAGAATGAAGTTAAAAACTTAGAGTAGGAGAGGAGGGCCTGGGCGAGCGATAACTCCGGTCGCTAATAGTTGCAGACTCTTTAAGGGAGCTCGCCGAGACATTTTTCGCGTACCATTGGCGAAGACGAGAGGCACCTTTAATAGTGGACGTCAGGGGACAGCGAGTGACATGCAGTGGCGCTAGGGGGTAGGGTCGACATGTCATCGTCGGAGGTGTCATCACCTCAAGCGTTCGCTCGTCACGTGTCACGTGTTCTCGTGCCACATCAAGGCGCTCACGCCATGTGGCAGGTCATGGCCCAATAAGGGCGCCATGTAAGAGAGTAGACTAGAATGAATGAACGCACATGCATCATGAGCGCCGAGGGTGGTAAGCGTCGTAGGCAATGAGACCGGTGAGTGCCATCGGCGATGAACGCCGAGGGCGGTGAAACTAGTGAGTATCGTCGACGATGAGCGCCGAGTTGGTGATTCCGGTGAGCGCAATGGGTGACGAGACCGGTGAGAGTCATCGGCGATGAGCGTCATGGGTGGTGAAAGCTGTGGGGCGGCGAGAGCGGTGATCTCCTTGGGAGGCGAGACCGGTGAGAGCTGTCGGCGATGAGCGCCTAGGGCGGTGAGACCAGTGAGCGCTGTCGGTGATGAGTACCGTGGGCGGGGAACTCATTACATGGTAAAAAATGTTTTAACATGGGGTCCACTAATTGCCCCCCTTGCCAACAAAAATTGTTGGATTCCCGAGGGCAAGTCAGATTGGTAGACCACTTTTCCAAGGCCAGCGTTTAACGGAGTTCTCATGTGATTCAGACAGTTTTTAGTGGGAGAGTATCTGACCCCGGTCCGTGGGGTGTGTAGAAGGGAGAGGGATCTTGGAAGAACGTGCTCATTTTGGTAAGCGCGCGTGAGAGGCTAGGAGGTTGTGCCCCTTTAGGACTTTGAATGAATACTGATCGGAGACCACGAAGGAAATATCTTCTCCTCACTTTTGTCCCCAACATTCATTTTGCCTATATAAGGCCTTATTCCTTACTTCTTCAATTCACACTACCTCTCTTTCTTTGTTCTGCGGGAAACTCTGACGTGGTGGGCGGCGGTGAGAGGGGAGCTACCCAGGCGGTGTCGTGAAGCTAAAGGTCCGACTGCATCAGGTATGTTATTCTGCCCTCTTCCTCCAGCGTCGTCTGATTGCCTTAGCTTAATTGTGCGCGGGGGTAGGAGGACTTAGTTCCCCATTTATTTTCATCACATATAAGTAGATGGCTTGTTAGCGAACAACTTTGAGTTAGGGGGCTTCAAGGGTAAGGATGTTTCCCTCGCAGGAGGCCGAGGTTACATTGAAGGAGTATGTGCCTGCGCTGGCTCAGGTGGTGCCAACGCCGGGATGGGAGATGTCGACGTCCGCACTAATGATGAATGCTGCTAGGTTGGATGTGGGGCCGACCGAACCAACATGCTCCTACGTCGGGCCCACCGCATCCTCGGGACATGATGCTCGGGCATGGGCACCAGAGCCATTCACTACATATGTGACACTATCACCGTCCTCCGGGTCAGGAGAGAGGGGGGAGCCTAGAGGTTCGGCTGGGGGCGACGAGTCTATAAAACATCAGAAGAAAGGTCCTAGGGTAATGAACGGTAGGCACCAATCTCGTAGGCAAGCCGTGACGGGCACTGTAACCCCATTAGGGCGGCCGGGCGGTGTAGGTAAGAGGTACCGGGTGCGCTTCTTATGCCAAACCTTCTCTCTGGATGACGTGGTGGGAGACTTTAATCGCAACATGGAGGCGGATATGGATTATCAGCGGGGATAAACCTCCTTTTGCGCATATTGGCTGCATACGGGATGCCCGAGCAATGGGAGTACGCACTCTTGGGGTCGGCCGCTAGTGTTAATTCGGCAGAGTGTGGGTGGCACTGCATCTACTATGAGTCATTCGCCTTCGGCTTTCGTACCCCATGCCTCAATGGTTGAGCTCGGTGATGATGGATGCGAAGATGGCGCTTTGCTCGGTTGCCCCCACCTTTTGGGCGTATGTTGATACTTTAGTTTCTCGATGCAAATCAGTGGATATTAACCCTACCGAAGATCTTTTTATGCATGCTTCATTGTTCGGAAGGATCCCTCAGGAAGCTGCTCATGGAGTGTGGAGCGACGATATTTGGGTATTCAACTAAGCGATGCTCCCCTTTGGGGTGGTGGCGAAGATTGTGCCGAAGCTTTGGTGGAAGAAATTTCTCTTTTTCCACATTGCTCCTACCGGAATTGCGGTGGGTGGGAGTCCGTTACCAGAGGAGATTGGCTTTGAGAATTCGGAGAAGTTTCAAGGGGCGATGGAAGCTCCACCTGACGTTTGGCGGCTGTTAGACGGACCCCCAACTAATATTAATACAAAAGAGCGCATAAGGAGTCTAGTTGTTCATGCCTATGGGGAGGGTAGGAGATAGGTCATATATATGCGAACTGCTTTCTCGTCTTTAGATTTTTTTATTAATCGTTTTATTATGCTTCCTTCTTTGCAGGCCCTATGGATGTCAAGTGGCTGATACGTGGTCGCGACGCTGATAAGAAGAGGATTGTAGCCGAGCTTCCGGAGGCCAGTCGGTTTACCAAAGGCTTGGGGGGCACCATGCGGTGAGCTTTTCCCAGAGATCTAGCGGGAGCATCAACTCTCGATCGAGTAGTGGGTCCAGGCGAGGCCCCGACGTGCCACGACCAGTAAGCGGCTCCAGAGGTACATCCGTTCCGGAAAGGCCTTCGTTAGAGTCGGGACAACGGGTATCTGCTGCCCCCATGCGGCGAAGGCGACCCACGGGCATCCCGGGTCAAGGAGTCCACGAACTTCGGGCTCGGCTTCTGCTATATCAGTGCCAACGGGTGGTTCCCGAGCTCAGCAGCTGGTGGATGCCCTCGGGATCGACTATGAGGGTGGCTTGGAGATGAGCGAGTCATTTTACAGGGTAAGCTTTTTACTATTTGGTGAGCGCTTTGGTTAGTAATTTTGTCTCTAACCACTATTTTTTAACGATGCAGATGAAGAAATAGTCAGTGTCTTTACATGTCCGCATGTTGGCCACGACAAAGAGGACATGAGAGGCTACCTAGGCTGTGAGCGAAGCGGAGAGGCGACTAGCTGAGGAGTGAGAGTGTTCAACAGGTCGTGAGGTACGAATCCGTCGCTTGGATGTCCAACTCTGACGAGTTATGCAGGAGCTGGAGGAGGCGCAGATCGCGGAGGGTCGCACTCAGGAGAGCTGATTCAGGAGAGGGAAAGGGCTGAGTGCAAGAGCAAGCGAGCGGAACGTGAGAGCCAAAGGGTAGAATTAGAGCAAACTCGAGTTGAAGAGGAGAAAGCAGCGTTTGACCAAGTAAGGAGAGCCTTGTCGACGGAGGGAGGAGTCACCTAGAGGCTGAGATCTCAGAGAGAAGACTTGGAGGTCCGTGAAGAATGCGTTTTCTAAAATGTATTGCTTTTCTAGGGAGTTGGTCAGTGAGATGCACCATGGGGTCTCTCTCGACGAAGAAGACTTCCAAAGGAGGATGGCTCACTAGGTGGCATCTGCGGTAGAGGCTGAGAGAGAGGTTGGATACTATGTGTATTAAGGCAAAGATCATATAAGAGCATGGTGGTGAGCGCCTCCCTCAAATATTTTAAGTGACCGTTCTTCCTCTAGCTCTTTACCAAGATATCATCAACATATGCTTCAACATTTCTTCCCAGTAGGCGAGCAAGCACCCGGTCCACCATGCGCTGGTAGGTGGCCCATGGAGAATAGGGATGGAAATGGGTCTGGTCGGGTACGGTCTGGTTCGAATCCACCACAGTGAACGAGAAATGAACAATTTGATTAGTCAACCACACAAAAAATTGAACTAATAGCCAAGAAAAAAAATGTTTTTTTTTGCCTTAAAACATAAAAATTCCAACATGCATGAATTAAGATCGAGACTTGAGTATCGTTTTGGGAGTTGAGAGATGATCGAGTGGGCTGCTAACATGTATTGAGAAGTCGGCTGGGTACACGGTTTGGTCCGGTAAACCGCGGTCTAGACCAAACTAGACCAAGAGATCAAAACATTATATAATACAGACCATGGACGAGATCAGACCATATTTAATGGTCTACAGTCCAGACCAAACTGTACGGTCCGGTTTGTACCATGACTTTTCAAATGGTCTGGTCTATATTCCCAACCTAAAAAATTATGATTTCTTTTGTTAGACGATTTGAATGATTTATTAAATAGTTTGGTGGGGATATGAATTTGAAATTGAATATGGTTAATGATAACTTTATTCTTAAATTAGTGTGATATCCAAGTCTTATATGTTATATATCTCAAACGGTTATATCAATGATTAATCAATAATTTCTATAAAAAAATTAATCAATAGTTTTATAACTGCTTAAACACTAACTTTTCTAGTTCAAGTCGCTAGTTCGGTTAAAAATAAAATAGAGGATAAATGGAACAAAGCAGACCAGCAGGCAGCCGCCAGCGCCGACCATTCCCGATAGATATATCTCCTCGGCCGCTTCCTTCCCCTCCTCTCCCCCGCCTTTTCTTTCCCTCCCAGCAGGCTGCTGCCTTACCCACTAAAACCCACACACTCCAACAAAAGCAGAAACTATACCCGACTCTCTCTCTCATTTCCGCTCCCATCCTTCCCTTCCATATGGCTTCAATCTCGGCCCCTACTCCTCCCCGCAGTCTCTTTTTCCCTGCCTCCCTCCGACACTCCAAAAGCCGTCGTTCCTCCCTTTCCCCTTCTCCAGCATCCCCTAGGTTTCCCGATCCCTCTCTTTGTCGCTGCACCAATTCCTCTTCTTCCTCTTCCTCATCGGATAACCCGGGCCTGCGATGGGATGCTTTGATTCAGGACGTTGTCAAGGGCGCAATGAAAAGGTTGGAATCCATTATCGGGAATCCAGCCCAAGAGGGCTTGGACGAGGGACCCGTCGTGGAGAGAGGAATCCGAGAAGAATGTGAAGACGAAGGACATGAATGGGATTGGGATCGCTGGAGGAGGCATTTCGAGGAGGTCGATGACCAGGAGCGGCTCGTCTCTGTCTTGAAGGTAATCTTCGCGCAACTCATTTCTTTTTAGCATGTGGAATTCGTGCGTGTGATTGAAGCGGGAGGCGATTTCAGGAATGGGCATTTCAATTGCGAGGTGTTCATGAATGTGTGATTTTGTCTCAACTGCAATTGCCTAGAAATTACTAATATGTGAATGGTAAATCCTGTGGGAGTCACGAATGTTTGGTCTTGGTGCAACTCCGAGGTTGAGTTTTTATTTTCATTTTTTGGGTGGTATGGTGGAGGGTACCTAATATGAGCTAACCTGGATACCGATTAGGCAAGCATTTGCTCGCGCAAGTACATATTTCTTACTTGTGAAAGCCACAGTGAAGGACCTATTTTCCAATTTAGGGCCATTCTGAAAGTACTTCCTCATGTCTCATCTGTGAGTTGCTTTAGCATCGTGTCTGTTAGGTTGCAGTATCCCTCTTTCTTTGCACGTCTGTAACTCTGTTAGGAAGTTCTGTTGGTGAACTGTTTTTCCCTGTACAATTTCAGCTGGCATGCTATAATTTACATGTTTTGGTTGTGTCTCTGCAGTCTCAGTTGAGTTATGCTGTACATAAGGAAGATTATGGAGATGCTGCTAGGCTCAAGGTTGCAATTGCAGCTGCAGCAATGAACGACACCGTGGGCAAAGTGATGACACATCTGGTGGTATGTAATTTACTAAATTTACCTTTACATTTTGGCTTTCCCTAGAAGGACACCACTTTCTCTTTCTGTGGATTGTGGTTGAGCAAAAGTTTCTCATCTCTTTCAAACCTACTTATTTGTTTGTTCTTCCTGTTCCTTCAGAAAGCAGTAGTTGAAGAGCGCTATCAGGAGGCAGCTTTCTTACGGGATCATGCTGGTGCTGGACTGGTGAGCGATCACATTCTTGACCCCAATCATTTACAAGCTTGAATGTTCCTCTCTTTTGCATACTTTCCCCTTATGCCTTTACTTGAACAGTTTTGTCACTGAAGTTTGACTACAAATGTATTCACTTCGTTGAGGCAGTGCATCTTCTGCATTCAGAAAGCACCGTCTATGTTATTTACAACTGTAGAAAGGGGATGCTAGAACATTGTTAATATTTGGGGTTGAGTAAGCGGCGTATAATCGGTGAGGGAGCATGGCATCTGTTAGAGGAAGCTAAATCTAGAATTCACCATAGTATCAACATACATTTTTTCCTCCATTAAATCTATACTTCTCCTTAAAGTCTTCAGCTGTTAGGTGGCTACCCCTGCTTTGCAGTCATAGTGATACGTCTAATGTACAAGCACTAGTTCGTTAGCTGTTCTAATCTGGCATTGGTTTTCAGGTGGGCTGGTGGTCTGGTGTCTCTGATGAAGTGCGTGATCCTTATGGCTTGATTGTGCGCATAACTGCAGAGCATGGGAGATATGTTGCCAGAAGCTACAGTCCTCGGTAGTTACTTAAATAATGTTCTTCATGGTTTTATTTTCATTCATGTAAATAAGTTTCACAGGCCTAGCATACATTTCCTTTCGTGTTTATAGTAGCATTGACATACTGGCTCTAGTTTATATTGCTGATAAACCCATTTAAATTTTAGGTTATATACACTTGTATATCCAAAACTTTCACGGTTGTGCCAATAATATCCAAATTTCCCGAAATACCACTTATATCCAATTCCTTCACATTCTTTAACGGTGTTTTTGGATATACAAGTGTATTTAACCAAAAATATATTGGAAAACGGATAGATTTGGCAAAGAACAACTTTAAAACATGGATATAAGTGGTATTTCGGAAAATTTGGATATTATTGGCACAACCGTGAAAGTTTTGGATATACAAGTGTATTAAACCTAAATTTTACCTAAAGTTTCAAGAAGCAGTGGTCTTATATCAAGTAGTGTTCTTGGTAATGTTCATTGTCTGAAATCGTCTTATTCTGCTGTCGTGAGGATGCTCCAATTGCTGATGGCATCTTGCCGCACCAGCTTTCTCGTGGCACAAGCACCAAACTCCCTATACTATTTCTCTACACTGTTTTCTATGTAGCCCATTCATTTTTTTTCCTTCCTGCAGTCAGCTCGTTACATCTGCAGCAGGTGTTCCCCTGTTTGAGATCTTTCTTACGGTGAATACAAATGGCGAATACAAACAAAAGGCAAGTTTTCCCTGCTTCCATTATGTTTTAGTTTTTCGGCTTACTTGGAAAGATTAGAAATTCTTGTGACTGAATAAGTGAGCATATTCCATTCACTGTTTTGAATTAGAAGTGATTGGCTGGGTTTGTTTTATCTTATCTAAACTTTAGCTGTATCTTAATATAATTTTTAAAGAATTGGCACAGGTAAGAGTGTCTAGCAAGGTCTTAAAAAAATGTATTGCTGATGGTTTGTGATGTGACTTTTTTAAGTAGTTAAAGCAGTTGATGGAATGCATTATTTTCATTCTTTGATGAGTTTTGTGATATGACTATAAATGGTAGAATAGTTTCTCTTTTCGAAAATCCAAATATAAATAGTGCGATATGTATAGGTCAAACAAAAATATCTGAAGTTTCCTATGTTTTTTTTAGGCTGATGTCCCAAGGAAATAAAATCCGGTACCTATCCGCTTTTCTTTCTTGTTGGACCAGCCATCTTAATTTTAAGAAAGTCACAAAAGAGCTCTTCAAACAAACCCCCAAATTATAGTTTTGTATGCATGTGCTTGGTTCTGGTTCGGGTTCTGGATTCTGCTCGTTTATGCTTAACTTCAATTTACATGGTCACAGTTGTGTTGCATGACTTATATGTTTTTATGTGTGTTTGCACTGTGCACTTGCAGGTTTTATATCCTTGTTAATTGTCCAATTGGAGACGTCGAGTTCACTATGTCGGCCATATCTCATTGGATCTATGCGTTTGTGTAGGCTGTTTACCTGAAAAGAAAAGAGCATCCTCAAGGTCCTTCAAAGCTGGCATCGATAGCACCAAGTGGACCCAGTCGGTTAAGTCGTTCTGGGCCAACCGAACAGAAAGATGATCTGTTTGTTGTAACTACTGATGAGACCGAGGATGATGAGGATACAGAAGATGGTTCTGATCCAGCTGATGGATTTCCTGGTTTTAACAATATCATGCGAGATATGATACCTGGTGTGAAGGTCAAAATTTTGAAAGTGACAACACCTGCAAAGATGGATAGGGAGTTCATAGCCAAGGTGATAGATGATCTAGTGGATGAAGAAGATTATATGAAGGATGTTGACTTGGAAAGTACTGAAGGTGAAGATGATATTGAGGAAAGTGAGGAAGAAGGAGATGAGATTGACATAGATGCTGCTAGTGAGATGATTGATAGTGTAGAGAATGGTGAGATATCAATTAAGGTTGTGGTGGGAGGTCTTGCTCAGAGGCCTTCATCCTCTGTGGCTGGAGAAGATAATGTTAGGGTACCAATTAAGTTAGAGAAAAAGGGGTACAGGTCATTTTCCCTGTCTGTAGAACAAGAGACCAACAAACAGGATGCTGGCGCCAAGGAATTGGATGCTAGTGAGAAACAAGGGCAGCGCACTCTGGACCAAGTTATGTTTGACCTTACTAAATTCATTGGCCCTGAGAAAATTCCGTTGAAGGTGGGTTTGGTGCAGAGTAGCTTGTAGCTCTGTACATTTGGCAGGACGGATTTTACTTTGTTCTCTTTGTGTATGAAAGCATGCATTGTTGTTTATTTCCTGTCTTCTGCATTCTCTTCTCATGTAATCTTCAGTTTCTCTATTCCGAACTTTGACTGTTGCCTTAACTTAATATTGATTATTTTCAATTAACCAGGTGCTGAAAGATCTTAGTGAGCTAGTAAGTGTTAGCCTCAGTCAAGCTCGAAACCGTCAACCATTGTCTGGCTCAACAACATTTCATCGAATTGATATATCAGCCTCGCCAGACCCTTTGAGTGGTGAATTGTTGCTTATGCATTTTTAGTGTTTTATTTTGTTTAGCACCTTGGTGGGCTATTGTTTCTTTGTATAATGTCTTGATTTGATGGTTCATCTTTTCAGATGTCATTCAAATTCTTGTGTAGCCCGACTTCATAGTTCTTGTACTTCCTCACTCACAAGAATAAAAAAGATCTCTGTACTTCCTCAGGACTGTATGTAGGTGCACATGGGCTGTACACGTCAGAAGTTATACACTTGCAACGCAAAGTCGGTCAATGGAAAGATGATGGAGTGTCTAAGGAGGCTTCTAGAATTGAGTTCTATGAATATGTTGAGGCAGTGAAATTAACTGGAGATCCTTATGTACCTGCTGGGGAGGTAAACTGCTTAGTTGAAGCTCCCCTCTCTTTATCTTCACCTTGAATTACTATCATGGTTTGAAATGTATCTCATTCATATTTATACGTATAAACTTTTCAACATGCTTACTTATATCTGTTAGAAGTGTAAAAAATGAAGTGGAGATTCAGCTTACTTCTGCCATGAGCATCCCTGTCCTTTGTATATATTCAATTTGCTATACTCCTTGTTCTCAAGACTTGGGTATCTCTTCAATCATTTGACAGCAGGTCGGAATGTTTTGCGATATATTGTGTTTTTTGTTTTTCTTATTTGTAGATAGTCTTTGCATATTTGGTTCCAGTGGCACGGTTGTCAGTTACTAGTGCATGCTCACCGTAATACATTCTGATACTGTGTTGCCTAAAAGAGTAGCGCTTTACTTCTTATTTGTTTAGGTAGCATTTCGGGCCAAAGTCGGTAAACAATACCAGCTTCCTCACAGAGGTATCATTCCTGAAGAATTTGGAGTGGTAAGTCAGATGTTGATTGAAGATGGGATTGGCTTCTCTTTTCATCTTTCTTACTTCTTACACATTTTGTTGCGAGTTGTAGATAGCAAGGTATAAAGGACAAGGGAGGCTTGCTGATCCAGGATTTGGGAACCCTCGATGGGTTGATGGTGAACTTGTTATTCTCGACGGAAAGGTAACAACTATTTCACTCTCGATTACTTGTGTGGGGTATATATTGAAGGGGCATGCCCAACTTTTACATATCATGGCAATTTAATTGATGGTGGACTTTTCTCTTCATTTCCTTCAGTACATTAAAGGAGGACCTATTGTTGGATTTGTGTATTGGGCTCCTGAATATCACTTCTTGGTGTTCTTCAACCGCCTACGGCTTCCATAGATGCTCGTGTACATAAACTTGGTGCTTGACTATTCGTTGTTCATATTTTTTGAGGTAAGAGGTATGTGATGCATTTAAAGTCGCAAAGTAGGTTAAGTGTCTGTTGTATGTTGAAGTCATGTACTTCTGCTGTATCAAACAATCGGTCAGTTACATATGCAATGCACTCACAACATCCATTTTCAGATCCCTTCTTGGTCCACGGCTTATATTAGTACTCTGCGTCAACATTTGGAGTACTGTCAGAAAGAAAATTTACAGTTATCTGTTTCTTTTATCCCGCAGCCTTGAATGATGGTGAAGATGGAAGAATGTCAATCCCATGTTTCATATTCCACAGACGGTCTATGCCTAGACTTACTGACTGACTTAGTCTGAAGTTGACCCGTACGGCTTGGACGACATTGTTCATACTTCCAGCATTTCTTTTTCCTCCTGTTTGTTATGTGGCTGGGATTGACGGCAACCGCTCCGTTCCTTATAACATGCTTGTATATGTAGAACTTTGTCCTTCGGCGACGATTCACCTTATATATATTGCCTAGTTTGACTATTAGCTCCGCGACGTTGAACAAATAATAAATGGGTCTTGGATGGATTATTTATATAAGTTATTTTATTTCAAATAACTTGTTTGGCAGCGTTCTACTGGAATGAGTTATTTGGACAGTGAAACGGAGGAGAAAGTTAATCTGCAAACTTGAAGATTCGTTAGCATATACTAATTGATATCTAAAATACATGAACTAATATCCAAGTATTTTATTCAAAGTTTGCTAATTGATATCCACCATGAATCAACTATTATCCCAAATTCACAAACTAATATCTAGACAACACAGAATAGTATTCAAACAACACATAATTAGTATCCAGATAACACTTAAGAGTATCCAGATGACCCATAAGAGTATCCATATTGAATACTAGTTGGTTGGTTGTGGATATTAGTTGGTATCTGCTATATGGATACTAGTTTGTGTTGTTTTGAATACTAGTCTGTGCTATTTAGATACTTAGCAGACTTGGATATTAGTTCATACATTTTGGATATTAGTTAGTATGTACTAACGAATTTTCAAGTTAGCAGAATAACTAGGCTGACTTAAAGCGAGTTATTTGAAATAACTCATACCCATGTGTTATTTTGAAATAATTCGTTTTAGCACTCTGCTTTTATTAAATGCCACATTTGCATGGTTCAACCAAATGAGATACATTATTTCAGTTACCACTGAAATAACGCTGAAATACTACATGAACAATAAATAAGTTATTTGACTATACAAATACCACATTGACAATAACCCATCCAAACGACCCAAAAAAATGGGTTAACATGTTTGTCTGACCCGGAAGTTTTTCATATTTAACATCATGGCCAATTCTTTTGGTATTTAACATCGTGGCCAGAACAAGGGGCGGACACATGAGGCTTTAGGTGTGTCTCGGGACACCCCTAAAATTGGGAAAAACGATTATCCAACCTCCGGTAGTTGTATCGTATGGATACAAAAAAATTATAATTGGTAATCCGGGACATCCCTAAAACGATTATCTTACCCTCAGTAGTAGTTTGCATATTTTAAAAAATATAAGTGGTAGTTTGTGTTTTTTTTATAATGGTGATGAGTGGTAGTCTGTGTTATTCAAACCTATGACACTACTATTTTTAAACATTATTCTCCATTAGGTTGAAACTCATTTGTTGTTCTATTTTAAACACTACACTATGTTTGGGAGGAGGGTGCAAAGGGGAGGGGTAAACACAGTTTTCAAGGTATTTGCACCTGTTTCGTTAATTTGTAACAGTAAGAGGGTGCAAATCTACTATTTCGGCTTACCCTCCAAATTGGGGTGCAAGAGAAGAAAGAAAAGAAGGGGAAGAGGAAATGGGGAAATTGGGGTGCAAGAGAAGAAAGAAAGGTATGGGAAGAGGAAAGGGGAGAGGGAGAGGGAGAGGGGGAATATGAATTTATTCCTTTATAATAATAATAATTATTATTATTAATTTTTTCTTATAGTTATAATTCATGTAGATGATGTTTGGGGTTGACCGTTTGACTTTGCGAGCAAGTTTGTCAATGTTCCTCTAGTCAAATCGATACCTCTTGGTTGAGTCGAATTTGCATCGAAACTAGAGAGGAACGGTTTGGTTGACTCGGTTTACTTGACTAAATAGTTAAAACTTACAAATTCGAAAGTGTTTGACTAAGTTTGACCATATTGAATTTAAAATTAGGCACGAGAACACCCTTAGGATGACCAGTTACGAGTTGGGCTTCGAGCTTCGAGGCCGGTCGACAAAAGATTATTATTGTTGTTATAATTAATTATTATTTGAGTATTATTATTTAATAATTATTTTTATTAAAATATAATTATTTTTATTATTATAGATTGATTTACGTTTGTATTATTTTGTGATAATATTTTATAAATTTGAAAACTTTATTTTATAATAATATAATTGCTTACTTTTATCTCTATTTGCACCCCCTATTTTTTCAGCCAAATAACAATTTATCCCTCCAATTAGGTTCATTAGAGCAATTTCTCAATTCTACATTATAGGTCGACTGATCAAGCGTGATATCAAACTACAATGTCATATTTGATCATTATCCTTTAGCTGGAGTCCAAATTACATGTCCTAGGTATTCTACTTTGTCGAATTTGGAAACTCGCCCACCGGATAGTTCATCCTAAGTGAACATGGATAACTTGAATAGGGAGTTCAAGTGGGCTTCAGACTCTCCATGGTATAAATCTCAAGTGGACAAGCCAAGATCGTCAATATCGGTCTAATTTGTGGCTAGAGAGAAGCATACCCGAGCAACTTTCCCTCAATAGATTCAACCAACCTTTACTTGATTTGCATGTTAGTTGATTAGTTAAAATCAATCTTTGATTTGGTAGATAACAATAGTTCACAAAGTAATAGTAGATTTGTTGACCGAGTTGATAATTAAAACTTACTTTTGCTATACTATTACCTTGATTTGCTAAATAACAATAGTTCACAAAGTAACAGTAGATTTATCGCCCGAGTTGATAATTAAAACTTACTTTTGCTATACTATTACCTCACTTTTACTATACTCCTAATCAATGGACAAGTGAAACTAAAGATCGAGTAGAATTATAGTGGAAGTTAAAAATTAATTGTCAACCGAGGTCCTAGATGTACTATTACTTAGTGAATTATCTATTATCTAGCAAACAGGCTATAGTGTTGATTACTAAACACTAAGGAAAAAAGCAATTAACTTGATTCGAATTCATATGCGAGAAGATCACCCAAGTATGTTTCCCCCTTGTCCTTAGTTAAGTCGATGGTGTTTACTCCCTAGTTTGTTCACTATATATTTTTACCACGGAAAATTCTGGAATTAGTTTAGAATCTCGATTAAAGCAGACTAAACCCTCTTAAATAGACTACTCGGAGGGAGATTATGCTCAACCGAATTAGAATACCATGACTAATATGCATCAAAGACTTCCTCTACTGGACTGAAAACTAGTACAGAGTAGTGAATCAATCACACTCTATAAACCTAATAAAATAGTCTTCTACTCATGATAATCTCCTCTGAACCATGATATATGCAATTTTCAGCACTTTGTCGTATTTTTTAGCCCTTTCATCCGACTTTCGATCCTTTCGCCCATTTCACTTGTTATATCTTGAAACATATTAAAATATTCCAAAATCCACACTTAGTCGTTTGCTTGTCACCAAGAAAACCTAACTCACACTAGTGCAACATGCAAGAAACAATGGTATGCACTATAGGTTATTGGAAGCACCTCAAAGACAATTGCAGACAAGAAAATGTTACTTACATCTCTACGTGACAATACACTCTCGAATGAGGACCTTGCAGACTATGACAAAACATGAACAAAACCCGCATAAACTAATTCAAAGGACGGTGCAAACACATCAAACTGCAAGGGGTACAAAATTTTGTAATCTAACCCGAATCACAGTCACTCTTGGAAGTAAGCCGAATGTTATGGCTTATTCTGCAAATGTCAAGGTTAAAAATTGTGACTTTTGCAGTGCCTGCGACATGTGTAAAAGCTCTTGGAATTATGTTGAAGGTCACGACATGTTCTGTAACTGTCATGGCTTGAGCCGCGACACGCGTGCTCTCAAACATGACATTTTTCACCCTGTTGTCTTTGTCCAGGTTATAACTCCAAATAATCCAACAATCATTCCTTCTCCCTATTCACCTGCTAGGATATGAAATATACTAAACCAAGAAGGACAAATTTCAAGCCAAATGATCAAGGATTGAGGGTTTAAACTTGTATAATTAAGCCTGAATCACTAGGTTGTGCTTTTGTTGTATATTTCAAGTCCTAGTGTATCAAGGATGGTTAAGAGCAAGTTTCAGAGCATTTGGAGCCCATTTTGGAACTAGCAAAGGAGTCAATCCCTGGAAAACTCAAAGATTGGAGGAGCACAACTCATGGTCATGAGTGTAGGCAGTGAATTTTGAGTAAAAATTTTGCAACATTAAACTCATAGGAAGAATATTTAAAATCACGACCGTGAGTTTGGATTTGCTTTTGGTTTCAAGCTTCTGAATACGATTTTTGGAGGAGAACACACATGAGGAATGAGAAACACACCATTGAAAAACCCTAGAATCAAGCAAGCCATTTCCATCTTTCCTTTAATTTTTAGCTCTCTTCCCTTATGGGTTAAGCTTTTCTATTCACCTGGGTTTGAGGAACCCTGGCTAGATATAGTTGAATGATTGATTTTTGTGAATCAGGAATTTATAATAAATCTACTTCTAAATCCAATTGATGTTTTATTGAGATTCCCCTAATCTTTTACCAAGTTTGGGTGGATTGTGCTTTGACCTAGAAGAGATAAATCTGATTGGGTTGATTGAACACACATAGATTGAAATGGTTTGATGAATTTCATGAAAAATGAGTTATTTGATTCCCCATGTATTGAGTGAAATCCGACTGGTGGA